AATGGCTCGCTATAGGAATCGCTAGCACAGATTGGATTAATAAATTACAATGAAAATAGCAGTCGAAGTGTTTGATTGAATGTATACTTTACATATTCAATACATTAATTTTGAATAGGAGTCACGGTCCATTGGTCGACACACATGATTATGTTAGGCTTTGCGTGTAGATCCAATTTATAAGTTTACAATCATCGTCTATATGCCCTTTTACGTTCTAAACTTATATCTCAACTTAAGGCCAGGGTGCATGTTCGGAATTTTTCTGCATTCCTCAATTGAGTCACAAGTTATTTTTCAAACAGGAATCACTCCTTCCCCGCATTGTCTACATCTTCCTGTTTTGCACAAAGAGTGCACTTATGTGCCTAGAAAAGACTGGCGATAAGATTAGTTTCTTTCTTGTTTTTTATACATTTTATCAAAATATTCTTCTTTACATTATTTTCTTGGTACATTAGTGCACTCGTTGTGCAAAAGTGAGAGATGTAGACACTGTGGGGAAGGAATGATTCAAAATTGAAAAATAACATGTGACCCTATTGAGGGCTGCAGCAAAATTCCGAACGAGCACCCTGACCTTAAACTTTTAAAAGATCTGTGAAACAATTCACACTTTCGTGTGATGAACCACGAGGGTCTTATGTGTAGAACTCCATGCCACAAGAGCTAGGTATTGAGTTGACAATGTACATATTACAGCGATGCGACAAATACATTCGCAGTCACTGATTGATGAATGCGGTATAAACTATATATGTCAACTGGGTACAATTCATAAAAATCAATTTCAAATTAATTAAAGTGTGACAAGACCCTTTTAAGTCCAGGTTTACGTATACATTTTCGAAGCAACCACTCGAAAGCTCTCGCAAAATAGGAAAGTCTTAAACGACAACGTTAACTGATACTTGACTCTCTTGGCCTCTCGGGGACCGGTGTAAAAGAAATTATAGTCCCCTGGGGATTATGGTCCCCTTTCTTAAAGGCCCTTACTGGCCCTGATTGTGGATACGATAATAAGGGAAAGAGTTTTATTTAGGTCACCATATAAATCAATGGAAAGTAGGACCATGATTTAGGACCTCCTACCCTTTTACACCGGTCTGTTAGGTGAAGATAACGTCTAGACAAGACTTTATTGTGAAGCTGAGCATATGGTACATGTATGTATAGAGCAAGACTCAATGTGAAGCTGAGCATATGGTACATTATACTTTACATGTATGTATAAAGCAAGACATGCGTCTAGTTTCAATTCAGTTTCACATTTTTTGCAATCAAAGCCTGTCAATGTCTAAAACTTAATTTTGTTTCTTAAATTACAATATTTAGAAAAATTACAAAGGATAGGTGTCGATATGGTGAACTGAATTCAACAATATTTTCTCTTAAACCAATTAATGAAAACATTCTGTAAAAAACGGTCCTTTATGTAATGTTGACTGATTGACTACAATTTCATGCAAAAATAATTATTTTTATCTGTTTTTGTTAACATTTTTTGTTTTTTAGTGTAATTGTTTTTTGTTCCTTTCTACCAATTCTTGAGAATGAAATAAAATGTCTTTCCCAACCTTGTTGGAACAAAATAGCATATACAACATTTTCATAGATCTCTCAATATTATAGTTTTACAAAGGAAATTTTGGTTGATTTAACAAAAAGTATGCAAAAACTTAAAACAAAACCTCCCAAAATAGATAAAAATTAAGATAAACCTTTTATTTCATTAACAAGATACTTTTTCAAAATCAACCAAACTTTCCTTTGTACAATTTCAATATTGACCTAAACACGTTGTGTTTATGTCATTTTCTTCCAATGAGGTTCGGACAGATGTTTCATTTCATTCCGAACATATGATACCAAGAACGAAAAAATGTGTTTTCTAAAACAATATAGAGAAACGAATATAGGGTTGATCATAATGTTCTCATAATATCTCTCTAATTTCTTTATTTTTCAATATATTCTAATGAAATTTTCAGAGAATGTGCAGCATAGACTGTCTTATAAATTCAGCAAAAATATGTAGTTTAACTGAAATATTTAATAAGAAATAGTTGCCATAGTTTGATCTTCATAACAATAAAATTCATACTAACAAAATGTTATGTTAAGCATGAAGATCCTTTGGTCAGACGAAACATGATCTAAAACAAATATATTGCCAAGATATCAACTAAATTATACCTAAAGGGGCAAAATCAATTTTCCTCGGAATATTTGACAAAGCAGTCACTTCTAATGAAGCATAACAATCATCCATTGTGAGATCATACAATTCACATGACCATTATAATAGTTCACAACAGTCAAAGGCACATATTATTTGACAATTTAACATGTTCGATAGCTTATTTGACAACTTATTATGTATTTAAACATGGTTAATGAGGGCTATTTTAGCTAGTTTTTTTATTTGCCCCGGGTGCCTTGATTTCAGGTTACTATGGCAACGTTTTCTTGTCTAATGTTTCTGTTATTCTAAATATTTTTCTCTGGATTAATAAAAGATTCCATGCTGCACATTCTGTGAAGATTTCATAAGAAAATATTGAAAAATAAAGAGATTAGAGAGATATTATGAGAACTTTATGATCAACCATCGTATAATTCAAATTATAATACTACCATCCAAAAGATGACCATTAAATTGACGATGTGTAAAATTTTCAGAATGTTTTGATGACCTGTCTAGGAGAAACGCGTGTTCAAAAATTTCAACATATCAATACCACTCCTTTGATGTTTTTCTTCAATCCCCAAATCCTAACGGGCTTTGATACGTGATCTAAAAGGGAACATCCGGTTGTCAGACTTATGGAGAGGATCATGTCTTTTGATAAGTGAACTAAAGGGGAACACCCGGTTGTCAGACTTATGGAGAGGATCATGTCTCTTGATAAGTGAACTAAAAGGGAACATTCGGTTGTCAGGCTTATGGAGAGGATCATGTCTTTTGATAAGTGATCTAAAAGGGAACATTCGGTTGTCAGGCTTATGGAGAGGATCATGTCTCTTGATACGTGATCTAAAAGGGAACATCCGGTTGTCAGACTTATGGAGAGGATCATGTCTTTTGATAAGTGAACTAAAGGGGAACATCCGGTTGTCAGACTTATGGAGAGGATCATGTCTTTTGATAAGTGAACTAAAGGGGAACACCCGGTTGTCAGACTTATGGAGAGGATCATGTCTCTTGATACGTGATCTAAAAGGGAACATCCGGTTGTCAGACTTATGGAGAGGATCATGTCTTTTGATAAGTGAACTAAAGGGGAACATCCGGTTGTCAGACTTATGGAGAGGATCATGTCTTTTGATAAGTGAACTAAAAGGGAACATCCGGTTGTCAGACTTATGGAGAGGATCATGTCTTTTGATAAGTGAACTAAAGGGGAACATCCGGTTGTCAGATTTATGGAGAGGATCATGTCTTTTGATAAGTGAACTAAAGGGGAACATCCGGTTGTCAGACTTATTGAGAGGACCATGTCTTTTGATAAGTGATCTAAAAGGGAACATCCGGTTGTCAGGCTTATGGAGAGGACCATGTCTTTTGATAAGTGATCTAAAAGGGAACATTCGGTTGTCAGACTTATGGAGAGGATCATGTCTCTTGATAAGTGATCTAAAGGGAACATCAGGTTGTCAGACTTATGGAGAGGACCATGTCTTTTGATACGTGATCTAAAAGGGAACATCCGGTTGTCAGACTTATGGAGGGGACCATATCTTTTGATAAGTAATCTAAAAGGGAACATCCGGTTGTCAGACTTATGGAGAGGACCATGTCTTTTGATAAGTGAACTAAAAGGGAACATCCAGTTGTCAGGCTTATGGAGAGGACCATGTCTTTTGATAAGTGATCTAAAAGGGAACATTCGGTTGTCAGACTTATGGAGAGGACCATGTCTTTTGATAAGTGATCTAAAAGGGAACACCCGGTTGTCAGACTTATGGAGGGGACCATATCTTTTGATAAGTGATCTAAAAGGGAACATCCGGTTGTCAGACTTATGGAGAGGACCATGTCTTTGATAGGTGATCTAAAAGGGAACATCCGGTTGTCAGACTTATGGAGAGGACCATGTCTTTTGATAAGTGAACTAAAAGGGAACATCCGGTTGTCAGGCTTATGGAGAGGATCATGTCTTTTGATAAGTGAACTAAAAGGGAACATCCGGTTGTCAGACTTATGGAGAGGACCATGTCTTTTGATAAGTGATCTAAAAGGGAACACCCGGTTGTCAGACTTATGGAGAGGATCATGTCTCTTGATAAGTGAACTAAAAGGGAACATTCGGTTGTCAGGCTTATGGAGAGGATCATGTCTTTTGATAAGTGATCTAAAAGGGAACATCCGGTTGTCAGACTTATGGAGAGGATCATGTCTCTTGATAAGTGAACTAAAAGGGAACATTCGGTTGTCAGGCTTATGGAGAGGATCATGTCTCTTGATAAGTGATCTAAAGGGAACATCAGGTTGTCAGACTTATGGAGAGGACCATGTCTTTTGATAAGTGATCTAAAAGGGAACATCCAGTTGTCAGGCTTATGGAGAGGACCATGTCTTTTGATAAGTGATCTAAAAGGGAACACCCGGTTGTCAGACTTATGGAGAGGATCATGTCTCTTGATAAGTGAACTAAAAGGGAACATCCGGTTGTCAGACTTATGGAGAGGACCATGTCTTTTGATAAGTGATCTAAAAGGGAACACCCGGTTGTCAGACTTATGGAGAGGATCATGTCTCTTGATAAGTGAACTAAAAGGGAACATTCGGTTGTCAGGCTTATGGAGAGGATCATGTCTCTTGATAAGTGAACTAAAAGGGAACATCCGGTTGTCAGGCTTATGGAGAGGATCATGTCTTTTGACTTAGTAGACGTTGCCGATTGCCCAAACGCAAGGGACGTAGTTCAGAAAGCATCGTCGGCAAGTGACATAATCACAATGTAATTAAATTGTATTCATAGTATCTATAAATCTCCTTTTGGTGTGAGCATTTTGTTTTTCATTAGTTCAAGCCTTTATTACGTATTCGTGTTGAGTTTCACTCTTTCGTTTTTTCATAGTGCAATATATGGCGACAACGATGACTATGGAAACATTGAGTACAACAAATCCTCCAACTGCTCCGCCAACAATCACCAGGATGCCGCTATGGAGCAAATCCGAATCTAAAAATAAAAAGTAACACAACTTCAAAATTACAATTAGCCAATATCACTTCCTAGAAACAACCATTTGGGATTGGCTCTCAGCATTTTATGCCTATTACTTGAATTTATGATCATAGGTCATTTGATTCCCCAGGGTGAGCATGGTCTCAAAATGAACAATGTGGAAATATTATTAATTTAGTCGTTTCCCTTCCAACCTATGTGTATCACCACATTTCTATCAGGGAATCATTACTAGGCTAGCCTTGGCTATTTCTGCCCAGGCAACTAAAAAGTACCATTGATTAAACACTAAAATTAAATACATTTTGAGTGTGAAAACTACTATTTAAACCTAATGCGAGCAATGTAATTTTCATAAAAACAACATTCATGGGGGTCAGACCCCCCCCCCCTATCCCTAGGCGTTTCCAGAGTAAATATACAGGTAAAGTAAAAACTAAGGTACCATATTATATTTCACACAAAATCCTCAGGGGAGTTATTAAAATCTCAAACAGTAGGTCAAATGAGGTCAAAAATAATCAAAGTAATATAGCAGTGGGGACAAGTTCCTACCATCTTAGTTATAGCAATATTACTTCATGGCAGAAAAGAAATGGAGGAAAATGCAAGGGACCCCCCTGCCCGATTGCTCCTCAATGTAACGGCCAAGAAAATCTTGATTGGGGGAATGTCCCTTGTATTTAAACGTCTTGTTATATATATAATACATGAGATAGTATAACATCTTACCATTTTTCTGATCGCTTCTAGGTCCATCGTTTTCTCTGGGTCGTGATTTCGGAATAGGAACTGGTTCTATTTCTTCTACTATGGTATTATCCAAGTCTGGTGGAAGAGGTGAAGCTGGTCCTGCGCCCTGTAGTTATAAAAAATCTTTTTATTAGTAACACACTTTGAATCTAAGCTTTCAAATTATGTAAGAAACATGCTTTAATTTAATATTACATTGTGACGAGCTCTCTATTCAAACCACGTTATATCGTTTTAAACTATTATTATACACTGCCAATCTCAAACTGCATCAAGCAGCGCTGTTTCAGTGCTGTACAGCGCTGTAAAAACAGTGCTGTATGACTACGCTGTTCAAAACAGATGATGTTAGAATAGCATTGTTCACCGCTGTGCAGCGCAGTGCTCTAACTGTATTGTTTACAGCGCTGTACAGCCCTGCAACACAATGTTGCAGATTGGTGTGTATTCCCAAAGATGTAAAGTAAGTAAGTAGAAGTTAGTGTATTAAACGTTGTTTTGACTGTAAACATTCTATTTTCCTACAAACTATTTGCTACTCACCATTGGAGCACGAGTTGTTGTTGGGGTTCGAGGTGTCGTTATATTAGAGATAGGTGGCGTGGTGAGAGCCGTTGGTGTTATAGGTGTCGGTGGTGGGTCGGGATATTTCCAGTAATCTGAAAAGTAATATGTATATTATAATATATTCCAATGTTGAAAGTTAAACGTTTGGAGCATGACATTCGACCGTATACGTCAATTGGAAGTATCTTCATCGCCGTAATTAGCGTCAACTCTCTAATGATGGCTTATTCCGATTCAAAAAGTATAATACGTCAATGGTGCTCTTTACATCAATGTCTTTACATACCCTCTTGAAAGAAAGTAATGCCCTGTCAATCTCAAACGGCATCTAACAGCGCTGTTTATGAAACAGTGCTTGACAGTGCTAAACAGTGCTGGACAGTGCTGTAAAAACAGTACTGCACATCGCTGTTTTCTAATATTATAAGTTATTGAATGATTTGAAGTGCAAAACAGGATATATTCTGCTCGGGAAATTCTGTATTGGCACGAGACGAAGTATCGAAATATCGAGATTTGCACTTCAAATCATTATTCTATAACGTTTTTATCGTGTGATCTTTGGTCAATACATTTCACTTAGGAGATAATCCCTAAGAACTATTTTGTATTCTCTGTATTCAAATTAATCAAATGTACTCAAATTAAAAATGAGTAAATTCCTTATCTATTGGTATATATAATGACATGTTTTCATCAAGAAAATCAATATTTATTTTTGAAATTCGAGTGTCTCATTTTTTGGACCACCCTGTAGTTTCCGTGTTGTAAAGCATATTCTTCAATAAGCTATTGCAAATGTAATATCTGCTGCATCGTTGTAATTTGTACATTATCAACTCAATATATAGCTCTAGCTTGTTGCGCGATGTTCTACAAACACGACCCTTAACATGGTTCATTATACGGACGAGTGATTAATTTCGCAGTTCGTATAAAAGTTAAAAATGAAATATAAGGTTTGAGCCATATCTAACGTTATAATAAGCAGAATATTTAAAGTATCGGATCAAACACTTTGGCTACAATTTTGATGAACTAATCAATCTAATCTATGTTAGCGATGCATGGGGCAAGACATTTGTAGTTGCACAGGGTGTTTCATAGTGTATATCTCCAAAGTCAATTTGAGATAAAACAGGCCCATAATGTATATATCATAAATGAACCTAGTAATTTATTGTAGACCAAGACATTTGGCACATGTGACAATAAATACAGTTTAAAAGTTAAAAATGGTATATACTATATTACATTTGGAGATTTTTAACTATTAGTCCACATAGTCCATTTGTCACCCCTATACATACTATAGTGAACCTATGAATTGTTAAAAACACGATGTTTTATGGTTAATTTACAATAGCAAGGGTTTTCTGAAGTGATTTAACTGGGTTGGACAAAAAGTTAGTTTGGGGAAAAAAGTATATCGGCTAATAAGGGAGGGGTGCATTGGCTTAACATGGCGTTGACTATTGACTTAGCGTCGGGATACCACCATGTACCTGGTATGTTACCATGGTGATAGATACAAAAAATTTCCCCAACGTTAATTTTTGGGCAACCCAGCTAAATCACTCCAATAAACCCTAATGATAGTATTTGCACAGAAAAACATCATGTTTTTAAATATTCATACGTTAAGAAAATGACAAATGGACTAACAGTGTTAACGTAGTCCGTTGCATAGACTACACATCATCGTGCAATATGCCATTGATAGAAAATGCATGCTGGGGCTCCCAGAGGGTATACACATTTTTCACCAAGTGCTTTTTTCGTAGTTTATGCATGTAGACACATATACCCTATGGGAGTAGAAGTTCTGCTTGATAACCGATTTTCAAAATGGCCGCTCGTGTCAAAATGGCGGCCATTTTAGTGACGATTTTACAGTCATTTAGGTACAGTATATAAAACTGTAATAGCAATGAGTTTTAAAAGTAAAAAAGTTATATAGCACATTAATTAAGCTAGACATGTAGATATTTAAGAAACACATGGCAGCAATCTTAAAAAATGGCGGCTTTTACACACGATTTTACAATTTTTGCTATAACTTGAAAAGTAGTGGAGCGATTTTGTTCATATTTAATATGTGATTACTTATTAGCATGGCACACTGTTTTATGATATTTTGGCAAGAAGGCGGCCATTTTGAAAATGGCCACCATTAATTACACGCTATTTTACAATTTTTGCTGTACTTAAAAAGTAGTGGAGCGATTTTGTTCATATTTGATATGTGACTACTTAGCTTTATGGCATTACAGTGACATGAAAATCTGATTCAAATGAATTTAGTCATCCTAGAAAGCCCAACCATGAGTGAGATCGTTCAAGTTTTTTTCAAATATTTGATCATCAGATTAGATAGGTTAATTTTTCAAACATGACTGTTCACTGTCCAAATTGGGAGGTGTTCATATTTCAAGTTTTTTAACATTTGAGTCAATGGGAGGAAAAACGGGACCAAAAAATGTTCAAATTGGGAGGTGTTCGGATTAGCCAAGTGTTCAGATATACAGGTTTTACTGTACTACAATTGTTTTTAATCTTTTGGAGGAAAGTGTACATCATTCCAGAGAAATGAGAGGTGACACACTGTCATGGGAACTGGTCATATCAGATGATGTTCCCACGCTTTTCGTCCAGAAGAGGTCATTTCCCAGGATTATAGATGAACCCTTGGCCAATCAATGATATAGTTTACATAAGAGAAGTATGACTGTATGAATTCTGGGATATTCCTGTTTTGTTGAGAATAAAATTAACTCTTTGCAAATTTGATCAAAACTGCCTCCAATCATCCAATACTTGGCTCAGTTAAAATAGTTGATTTATATTTGAATTCGATAATAACATTTAAAAATTAAATGTGTAGTAGTAATACTTTAGTACCTCTTATTGATTAATGTATAATATTACAACATACATAATGATGTAGGCAATTTGTTTCATAAAAATCTAAAAGTGAAATTCATAATTTTAATTTACCCTCTGGGAGCCCCAAAATCTTAGAAAATGCATTTTCTTGGTGATGTATTTTCTAAACTATCTGTACAACGTCGTAATACGTCCCTATTAGGATTGAAGTACGACAGTTCAGTTTGCAGTGTGTCCCCAGTCCGTCTAGGTCGTTTTAAGTACGTTGTCACTCGTTCTGATTGCAGAACGTGACGTCACCAGAAATGTTACCAGAACTGAATTTTGAGCATGCTCTAAGTTCTGGATGACCTAATCGTTCGGGTAGTTAGATAAAGTTTATAAACAAACCCAAAACGGTTCTTGGGTACGTCAAATCCGTTCGTGTACAGTTTAGTAGGTAAGGGATACATTGGTAGGTCAATTATACACATTGCTTGAAATTTAGTCACCCCTATAGATTTGATTTCATAAATATTTCTAAAACCTCAATCACGAAAAATGAACGTGTATATTTATTGACAATCAATATACCTTCGATCCATTGCTTTCTACCAAACTCGTACATTAACTTGTGACAAGTGCAAATCTATAAACTGTCCATACCTTGTTCTGTATAACACAATGGATTCAATGCTTACTACGGTATTGTATGCTAACCTGTGTCAAGCGCAAACTCTATAGAGTGTTTAAATCTCCAGACACCCTTGTAGAACTTCAAGACGTCCAAAAACGGATTCGGAAAGTCGGTCCCTTGGAAATTGCCATACAAATAAGGAATGCTCCCTTCACGGTATCCAATCGTTGCCTCTTCTCTCTCATGCAATACTCCAATGATGTCTCCCTTTTTGACGTGTAGCATTTTGAATTGGTTCAAATGTATCTACAACATTAACTAATCGTTAATAATTATTCTGAACTATGCATTCTCCATTAAATGTATGCAAGTTGGGTTTAAATTATGTTCTGTTTAGTGGTGTCATGGTTTCATTCATAGTATCACATCAAGGGATCCTAGAAGACTGTGTCTTAGTTAGTTGAAAAATATGTCATCGGAAAAACAGAAAGGAGAACTAGCTGCAACGTTACAATGTATGTTATACTGGGAAGTTGACACTGGAGAGAATGGATAGAAAGCAGAGTCTTGGATTCAGAATGTAGTCATTTTATTCACTATTCACAAGATGAAATCGAACTACTTTTCAATGTTTTTGGATTCCAAAAGAGTCAACTGTTTCAGCCTGGTGTGAAAATTGCATGGACAGCTAGATTGAAACTAAACATGATCTCGCAGTGTTTTCCAAGAATGGGTTGCTCAACAACAAATGCATTGAAACTAAACATGATCTCGCACTGTTTTCCAAGAATGGGTTGCTCAACAACAAATGCATTGAAACTAAACATGATCTCGCACTGTTTTCCAAGAATGGGTTGCTCAACAACAAATGCATTGAAACTAAACATGATCTCGCACTGTTTTCCAAGAATGGGTTGCTCAACAACAAATGCATTGAAACTAAACATGATCTCGCAGTGTTTTCCAAGAATGGGTTGCTCAACAACAAATGCATTGAAAGCTGAGATACAAATTACTTTTCAGTGAATATGGACAAAATATGATTATTAAAATATTGTATCATATGCAGGGTTTAATGTGACGTGACAAGAACCATGTTACAAATTCAAAATTTTCCAAATTCCTGTAAATCGAAACTGCATTTCAGTACAGTATTTTAGGTTACATCGATGTATTGTTGAAAGTATGTGTGGGGGCGAGACATGAATAGATGGAAGCTGCATTTAGGTAGAACATTTACATCGAGGTATCATTGACAGTCTGCGTGTGGGCGAGACATGAATAGTTGACTTATCGTGGTTTGAAATATTTCATAAGCAGCCATTGTGTGATTGAGTTGTTATACATACAAAAGCCATATCTATTTCTTGACAGATAAGCTCGCAACGGGACTGCAAGATATATCACTTACCCCGAAGATATTAGTAGTGCAAACTAGGGTGATATAAATGACGACCTCTGAACTAAGGTTCCAATACACCGTTGGAAAGCTGAGAGTGCCAGCTTTAAAAATCTGACCTCAATTTGAATTATTAGTAAATGAAAAATTAAATGTTAATTAATTAAATATGACCCCACGATGCTACAAAATGCTTCAGAATTTTTGTTTTTGGAAGATATGAGATTTGATCTTTGAAAATAGTGTGAACATTTGGGGGCATACTAGTTAGAAAAAAAGAAAAATATCCTTATAATACCCCCAAAAACATAATAACAAGAAATCTTTAAAAAAATCCCCAAAAATATTTCCCAAAAATTTCTTTTCGAAAAAGCATTTTTTCAAAAATGATGAATAATCTATTTGAGAAAAATTAAAAAATGTTGAAAATTTGGTATAATAAGTGTCTTACATAACTAGCCCCCATGTGTTAATTTCCCATTTGATTTATGGAGTAGAGGCGCTATTTAACTAGTTATATAGTACACTTCTTCCTAGTGGATAATAAATGATTGTGAAAACGATTTGAATTCCTATATACAGGGTGGGCCAAGAAAACGCCACTTTTTTTAAAGACACTCTAACTTTTTTTATTTTCCAACCTATATACCCCAAATTTTGCAGTTATATAGAATGTCCAGTTTTGGTCTGCCCTTTGAAGATAAAAAAAATCCCCTGTCTTCTTTATGCCGATGACATTGTATTCATGGGTCAATCTGAGAAAGAACTCCAGTCAATGTTAACAATCACTAATAATTTTGGACTTAAATGGAGATTTCAGTTCAGTGACAAAAAGTCTAAGATAATGATAATAGGGAAAATACTTGATTCGGAAAAGGTATGGTCATTAGGGAATTTGAGAATGTCAGAGGTAAATGAGTACAAATATCATGGAGTAATGTTCAATAGAATCTAAAATATTTATATGAAAAGGCCAGGAAAATGAAAAATTTATAAGGTTTACTTTGACAAAACATTGTAATGTCAAGCGCATTGAATTCGGAAGTACAATTTACAACTCTATGATGGCACCTGCTATCCTGCATGGATGCCCGACCTGGGTAATCCCAAAGTCAAGCCTTGCCAAAATTACCTCATTTCAATATGGTGCCGCCCAAGCCATTTTTCAAATTAAAAGTAAACCCGCCAGTGAATCTATATTGGGGGATTTAGGCTGGAAACCGATAGCAGAGGTGATTGAAAAAAGACAAATTGACTATTTGAACTACCTAAATTATACCAACTACATCCCTCCCTCATAAAATCCTACAGAATTTGCTAAAATTATTAAAAGTCGGCAAAGAATCATATTGGAAATTTGCATCAAATGCACGGAATATTTTAAGAGATAAAGGTTTAGATGATGTCATTTTTCGGAATGACAGCGAATGGTACCCATCATTTTTTTTACTATATCTCAATCCCAAAGCATATATAATTTTCACACTAGGGTAGCTGAACACCCCTCCCTTGAAATGTATAAGGAGGTTAAAACCCATAACCGCACCGAAAGGTACCTTAAGAATGACCTTGATTTTTATGGATCTAAAATGAAATTTCTAGCAAGATCGAATAATTTCTGCCTTGAGACAAATTATGAAAAGTGGGGCAAAAGTGATGGTATATGTATAATGTGTAATCTTAATTTGAGAGATACTCTATCACACAGATTAATGGTGTGTCCCTGTAAGGTATTATGATGTATAGTGTGAGATGTTTGGATTTACTTTCATAATTAGATTGTTTTAAAGTTAGTGAGTGAGTGAATGGATTATTCAGTAGTGCATGAATGGGTTGACTGAGTTGAGTTAAGTATGAAAGTATTAGTGAAGTGAAAGACATGTATGCATGTAGTAGAGCAGAGTGTTGTATTTTAGAAAACATTTTACCAATTGAGTTTTAGACTTTTAAGATGAGACGAGGTGTGGTTATCAAAGTGCAATAAAGATGAGAACATTGACTATTACTACAAACTATTTATTTATTATTCTATTATTATTTCACAGTCCCCAATTTGCCAAAGCCAGGTCCAACTTTTACAACGATGTAGAGAAATATGTTTCTCCCATTTTAAGTAGCAGTTTATTGTCTTCGAACATTCATGATTGGTTAATTACACTACTTGGTGATAAGGTTTTTATGGAATCAGGGCATGACATTTTTTATATGTTTGATAAATATGTGAAGATGTTTTTAGCAACACCTTTTAACCCTAGGAAACTGTAGTATTTTATGTAAACATTTTTAGTGCATAGTATATAAAATATATATGTATATTACAAATACTGACGCACCTAATAATAGTGTCCCGCTGTTAAAAAAGACTATGTCAAAATAGATAAATAAAAAATAAAATAGTGCCAGGGGTTCTTAGTAATAATATAATGTAACAAGCCCTTCAACTTGAATTATATTTGATCTAAAAGAGGAGTTCAATTGGTCCGCCACCCTCTTTGATGATAGCTTTTAGTCTTAGTTGCCTTGCTGATATAGCAGTATCGGTGAAATGTTGGCTAAGTTTCTTTCAACCTGTCTTAATTGCCAGCTTTAGTTGGGCCATTTTTTAGATTGGGTGCCTTCATACCATCTCCTGGAGACCTTCACATACCCTATACTCACTGGGGATTGCATCAGGACTATTAGCTTGGTGGTTATCAGGCCATATCAGATCAGGAACATTTTTCAAATTATGTTTATTTCTCATGGCACACCACATGTTTAAGTGAGACGCTGGTGACATATTTTATCCAAGTAAAATTCATAATCCATGCCTAGAAAGCATTCTCAATTTTCGTTTGATATGCAAATTATGAGTTTGTATCAGAAATTAAAAAAGTTATAGCATTTTGAAAAAAGCTTTTTTGGCCCACCCTGTATAGCTAGTTAATAGCGCCCCCACGTGTTAATTTTCCATTGGATTTATGGAGGTCGGAGGGGCGCTATTGAACTAGTTATATAGTACATTTCTTCCTAGTGGATAATGAATGATTATGGAAAAGATTTGGTTTCCTATATATAACTAATTAAATAGCACCCCCGCGTGTTATTTGTCATTGGATTTATGGAGGAGGGACGCCTTTTACCTAGTTATATAGTACACTTCTTCCTAGTGGATAATGAATGATTGTGGAAAGGATTTGCTTGGTTTCCAATATATAACTAATTAAATAGCACCCCGCGTGTTATTTGTCATTGGATTTATGGAGGAGGGACGCCATTTACCTAGTTATATAGTACACTTCTTCCTAGTGGATAATGAATGATTATGGAAAAGATTTGGTTTCCTATATATAACTAATTAAATAGCACCCCCGCGTGTTATTTGTCATTGGATTTATGGAGAAGGGACGCCATTTACCTAGTTATACAGGGCGTATAAAAAACGCAACAAGAAGTTATCTCGTAAAATCACAAAACTAATGATGACTACATCAATTTCATTCAATGTACCATAAAGCCACGTCTCTCCCCTTTGCAATGATATGTCAATCATTCACATGTGGTAATGGTTGGGTGAGAAATCCTTCCATTTGCACAGTAGGTCAAAATCGGCTCTGGACCAAGTTTTAGATATTGCAAAAATCAGTGCAAGGGCTAAGTGCCAATGGAAGTTCCCTTGACTTGACTCTTTCTTTTGGAGCTATCTCAGGAGCATTTGTGCTCACAATTCCTCCACCAGATATTGCAAAACCTCGACAAAGAATTGCCTATGGGCTGCTTTTCTCTGCTTTAACCCACAGATGAGTCAGGGCTGAACCATGCATGACATGGACAGATGAGCGCATCTTTATGTGCAAGGAAGTGGTGGCAATTTGGAGGGGTATATTCTTGCAAGAATATGAGAATGAATACTTTACTGTCTATGCCACACCTGTCACACCTTCTTCCAATAGCCCCTATGCCCCTTGTACTGACTTTTGCAATGTTTAAAACTTGGGTCCGAGCTGAATTTTGCCCCACTTTGCAAAATTAATGATTATTCGGCCAGCCATGACTCTCTGTGAATGAATGATATTCCATTGCAAAAAGGAGTAATTTGGCTTTTTAGTACATTGAATGAGAATGATGCAGTCAGCATTGGTTTTATGTTTTCTGCCAATATTGCATCGGGCTCCGTACACTGACTTTTGCGATGTATTTAACTTAGTCCCAAGCTAATTTTGGCCCACTTTACAAATGGAATGATTACTCGCCCAACCATGACCAAATATCAAAGAATGATATATCATTGTAAAGAGGAGACACGTGGCTTTATGTTGCATTGAATGAAATCAATGCTGTTATCACTGGTTGTGTGCTTTTCTGAGATAACAATCTGTTGCGATTTTTTTATACGCACTGTATAGTTCACTTCTTCCTAGTGGATAATGAATGATTATGGAAAAGATTTGGATTCCTATATATAACTAATTAAATAGCACCCCGCGTGTTATTTGTCATTGGATTTATGGAGGAGGGACGCCTTTTACCTAGCTATATAGTTCACTTCTTCCTAGTGGATAATGAATGATTATGGAAAAGATTTGGTTTCCTATATATAACTAATTAAATAGCACCCCGCGTGTTATTTGTCATTGGATTTATGGAGGATGGACGCCATTTACCTAGTTATATAGTACATTTCTCTTTAGTGAATATTAACGTATTTTCCTCTCTATCAAATTCTAATCGATTCTATTGTATTATATTGGTGATTTTTACTAGATAATAAGGTTTATCCCATAGTTGAGGTCAAATCTGTAGAATAGCACGTATATACATGATATTTTGCAAATGCGTGGAAAAAAGCGATTTCTGTGGAATACGGAGAATATTCCACAGATATTACTTATTCCACGGATTTGAAAACTCCCGCCAATGTGACGTGCATTGTTACATGGTCACATGTTATATGCTTACATGGTGGTTTCCCGACGTCACTCCTTAATATCAATAGCTGCACTCATTCGCTACGCTCACTCGTCCTGATATCGATATCAACTCGTGGATAAAAATGATATCCCTCAAAATCATAGGATATCCTATACGTATTTTATTATATTTGAAGTGTTTTTCCTTATTTCTAATTTTTTCTGAATAATGTAAAATGTATGAATGTATCCTGTAAAATGTATAAAATACCATATTTTGGAATTAATTTTGAATTTTTTACATACTTCACGAGCTCTTGGAATTTCACCCCAAAAATGTGGGATTCCGTCAGATTGTGATTTCGAGACACAGAGCCTCTTTAATTAAGTACATCTTTCCTTTTGTTAGACTAAGAGCATGTGACATTGTTAACGAAATTTACTGTTCCATTTATATTAGGATGAGGTTCATCGACGCATGTACCAGACACATTCGCACCATACGATTTAAAATTGTTTTCAGAATTTTTTGTGAAAAGTTAACCAAAAGGGGCGAATCCTGAATTCAGGGCCATTAACAAATAGATTATAACAAAAATAACCTCAATTTATGTTGGGGGTATTACTTTAGGTGAGAGGTCATCTCAACCCCAAGTCATCTCAACCCAGTCCAACTCAACCCCAAGTTAAGTCAACCCCAGTAAAACTCAACCCCAAGTCAACTCAACCCTGTAAAACTCAATCCCAGTCAAGAGTTTTACTGGGTTGAGTTGACTTGGGGTTGACCAAAGATGACCAAAAAGCTTACTTTATAGTGCCCCTGGATGCTGACATCATAATGTAAGGGGCATTATAAAATGGTGCCCCTCACATTATGATTTTTGCTTTTATGGGCACTATTAAATAAAAGCCCTTTATAACTACTATTTATGATAATTAAAACACAATTTGAAGGGCATTTTTCATCATGCCCTTAATTTCTTGTGGGGGGTATTACTTTATAGTGCCCCTGGATGCTGACATCATAATGTAAGCGGCATTATAAAATAGAGCCCCTGGGGGCATAAAAGGAATTTTTATTTTTCTAAGGGGTCTCCAGGGGCGCTATTTAACTAGTATGCCATTGACGTAACATGAGAATATGCACACCTTTGACTTAACATTGGGTATCCTATCCCTTATCATATACCTTATCCTATATGACTTTATTATCTTTTTAATACCCCTTATACATACAATTATACCAATGCTGTAATTCTTTTTAAGGAAATACAATCATTGAGGCTATAAACAAATGGTATAATAGGTGTTTCCTAATTTAAGTAAAGTAGCATCCGCCAAGCAAAATATTTGACCTTTGACCTTTATTACCACGCCTATTTTCCTACACGGCATTTTACTTCACTCTATAAGTATAAGTATATAATGCATAATGTCGAATATTGACGGCTCCAAGGAATCGTTTCTTAGGCATATCGGTTCATAAAGGTATTCTGTGACCAATATATTTTTCTACAATCTGCCTCCCACCATAATTTGAACTAAGGGGAGATGTATAGTCACACGATTTATCATAGAGATTGACATTGGGTATCCTATCCCTTATCATATACCTTATCCTATATGACTTTATTATCTTTTTAATACCCCTTATACATACAATTGAAGTACATCCTTCTGTTTTATATGAAAAATCGATGAAAATTATGTTGTAAAAATCTTTGCATTGTTTTGATGGACATTTGAGTAGTAATTCTAAAGAGAAAATGTAAAAATAACAACGAAGTTGAAACATCATAATTATATACTGTCATGTTGATTAGATCAAAAACTTTGTCGTTATGGACTTTAAGATTGAAAATGGAAACCGATTGTCAAAACATTTTTGATTGAAAAAGCATGGTTGATATTTCAATTTTACCCCTTGGTGATGAAAGGGTCAATACGTAACATTTCATTCAGTGTAAATTCAAATGGATGTTATATTAGATCAAAGCTGACTCTCAGCTTTCAAATGTTGTATTGAAACCTTAGTGCAGAAGATGTAATTTACTAAGGAGTGCACTTAGTCAGAGACTCTATTTTGATCAAGTACATTGGGATTTGTAGAGATGAAGTTCAAATAAAACACACACTTTTTCAACAAGACATATCGATGTGACCCCTGTGATAAGCATTGCCTTTTCAAAAAGGCATGTCAAAGTGACCCCTGTGAATAGCATAACCTTTTCAAAAAGGCATATCAAAGTGACCCCTGTGAATAGCATAACCTTTCCAAAAAGGCATATCAAAGTGACCCCTGTGAATAGCAGAACCTTTTCAACAAATCATATCAATGTGTCCCCTGTGAATAGCATTACCTTTTCAACAAGGTTTATCAAAGTGACCCCTGTGAATAGCATTACCTTTTCAACAAATCATATAAATGTGTCCCCTGTGAATAGCATTGCCTTTTCAACAAATCATATAAATGTGTCCCCTGTGAATAGCATTACCTTTTCAACAAATCATATAAATGTGTCCCCTGTGAATAGCATTACCTTGTCAACAAATCATATCAATGTGTCCCCTGTGAATAGCATTTACCTTTTCAACAAATCATACCAATGAGTCCCCTGTGAATAGCATTACCTTTTCAACAAGGCATATCAATGTGTCCCCTGTGAATAGCATTACCTTTTCAACAAGGCATATCGATGTGTCACGCCCGGTGATCGGATAGAAGAAACGGAGGGGGATGCCGCGATTTCTGCACGAAAACTTAACAAATTTGGAAGATTATTTTTTCAAAAGAAAATTATGATAGAATTACTAAATGAATAGTTGCATGGTATGGTAAATTATGTTAGGTTTTCCAGGATTTTTTGAAGCGGTGGGCTTATTAGAGAAACTCGACGTTACACCTCTGAAGAGTGAAAACTGGGAAAAATTCGAGTTACGAAACGATACGAAATAAAGTCAAGTTAGCACTTAAGGCTCGTGTCCGTTAGGTCTAGGTTCAAATCTAGTCGCTTGAATACAGCTAAAACCTCTCTAATATACACAAGAACCCTCAACCTACCAAGCATTCTTGATATACCTGGTGCATTCCTTGGGAATGGGCCTGTACTCGTATTTGGTTTACCAGTTATATCTAAAGACTTAATAATTCACAAGAACCCTTAACCTACCAAGCATTCTTGATATACCTATTGCATTCCTTGGGAATGGGCCTGAACTCGTATTTGGTTTACCAGGTATATCTAAAGACTAAATAATTCACAAGAACCCTTAACCTACCAAGCATTCTTGATATACCTATTGCATTCCTTGGGAATGGGCCTGTACTCGTATTTGGTTTACCAGGTATATCTAAAGACTTAATAATTCACAAGAACCCTTACCAAGCATTATTGATCTACCTGTTTCATTCCAGGGGAATGGGCCTGTACTCGTATTTGGTTTACCAGGTATATCTAAAGACTTAATAATTCACAAGAACCCTTAACCTACCAAGCATTATTGATCTACCTGTTTCAATCCAGGGGAATGGGCCTGTACTCGTATTTGGTTCACCAGGTATAACTGACCAGGCAGGTTAACTGGGTCTAGTTCTCGCCATGTTTGAAACCTCACGGGATTCCTGGAACAAAAACGTAATTAACTCATTCGATACTGGGGCAAAAAGCACTATAATACTGACGAATTTTTAAAAATTGCCATATATGGTACCTCTGAGATAATATATGTCGTAGTGTTATATATCGTTGTAAAGCATTTGATTTTCTCTTTCAGAATCAATAGGTTTTTAAGTCCTATTTTATAAGTTGTCATGGTTACAAGATTCCAAAAATACATTGGTTTTGTGCTTTGACGTGATATCACGTCCTTCGTAGTCAGCGTATATGCTTTATAACGTCATATAGTCTTTTAAAATAAACGATGACAGTGGGATGTTTATATTTATTTCAGATTCTACATTTCATCGAAAATATGAATCAATTAATTTTAGTCTAATGGCTGAAAAATAGTACCCTATAAACAAAACGATTGTTTTTATCGGGGTTTTATTTCCCTCAAATTTAGTAATGCACAGTACAACTTCTACTAAACGACTCCATGCATTCCAGTTATTCTAAGTCATTTTAAAAGAAACACTATAGATGAGAAACATTACTGATAGCTCTTTATGGTTGTCTGGAAGAGAATTGATGGGGAATGACGGGGTTTCATTTTGAAGACGCACAATATTACGTAGCTTGATTGATTTCAAGTATTTTAACAAGGCATTAACGTGACAAAATGTCAGCACCTAGTTGCTCACAATATTATCAGTTCAATCTTTAGTCAGATTTGAATTTGATTTGAACTCTGTAGATGATTTCGAAAAAATGGTCAATTTAAAACAAGTAGTTTGACCCTGAGAAGATCATTGAAGGTGGAATCTCAAAAATAAAGTCAGATTTGAAATTTGAACTTCTGAGAACTTGTAGATGATTTTGAAAAAAAAAGATTTGGTCAATTTGAAACAAGTTGAACAAAATACCTTTTTGACCTTAAGAAGGTCATTTAAGATCAAATATTAAATCTAAAGTCAGATTTGAACTTCTGATAAATTGTAGATGATTTTGAAAAAAAATATTTGGTCAATTTGAAGCAAGTTGAAAAATACCTTTTTGACCTTTTTTAACCTTTCTGACCTTGAAAATGTCATTAAATGTCAAAGTTTAAATGTAAAGTCAGATTTGAACTTCTGAAAACTTGAAGATGATTAAGAAAAAATTTAAGTCAGTCTAAACAGTATTTGTTAAGTTATTGGAAGTTGTAAGAATTTGTTACAGTTACAGACGCCAACCACCTCCCGCCGACCGCCGATCACCAACCGTCGCCAAAAACAATATGTCACCACTTCTTGGTGGTGACGTAAAATTGGGATCAGTGTATTAAACAGGACAAAACAAATTGCATCTCTATTTCAATCAGATTTTTGCAGCTAAATAGTGAGATCATTTTCAAAACTTTCTTTGACTTTGATGTGCTTGAAACAAACTTAGCATCAAACAATACATTTTGTTCACGCAGTCCAGTCATCATTTGATCAAATGAAAATGTATGGCGAGAGCAGATAATAAGTAAACATTTATTGTTAGTTATCCCAGGTATGGTATGAGTAAAAATGGTATTTAAAGGGAAATCTACTCTAAGCATGACGAATGATTCGAGCGAAGCTTTCTAAAAAATTACTCTGAAATTTATGACACCGGACTGCAGACTATACTTACTCATTATGGAAATATGCTTTGAATTGTGTGATGACCCCTGTCTCTAGTTTGAGGTGTAGCAACAGCCAGACACGCCTTGCCCCAGATATTAGAACACGACTAGAACTATCAAGGGGATCTCCGAAAATCCTGACGTCACCTTGGAAAGTATAAAATGTTTTACAAAAGAGATAGGAACTCACCAGAGCTTAGAGATTACAGTCATAATAACATATTTTGCTTAATTTCCAACTTCTTTTGTCAGGATAGTTTCAAATACAACATGTCGTTGTGGAGCACTAGCATATTACACCCGTTTTATCCTAAAATGAGATAACGAGCTGTGATAAGCATGCAAGTAATTAACATATTATTGCTCGAAGCGTGTTTAGAATATTTTGAAACCGCTTGTTAAAGGGGCGACAAGGCCCGTAAAGAGAAAATTTGATTTTCTGAGCTATCAGGTCAACATTTGGCTTAACATCTTCTTTGACATACCTATTTTCTTAAAATGTATGGATAACTATCAATTTCAACATTAAGAAGTGTAAATTCAGTGGGGTCCCACTTATAGATTTTTAAGATCCACCACGTTTCAAGAGGAATATCAGCTGAAATAATGTACATCTACAATCTGGCGTGTTTCTTTGTAGACAACAAAAATATATGTTAGTCTTGACTGGTTGAAGAGATATCTAAACTTAAATATATTTTGACACTGGTCGATGATCATTGAATGGCCCCTCTGCACTAATTGTTGCACCTTTAATGGCGTCACGTGTCTGTCGATTTGACGAATTAGCAACTGTCTTCTCAATACAAATTTGCATTATAGGCAAATGTCTTCTCTAAACCCTGAGGCAATTCCCTCTCTTGTTTTACAAATCTCCCCTATATCACGTGACTTCTGGGATTTAGATGATGGCGTATCGCGAAATGTAATATCTCAGAGACATAATCCTCCATTGTAATTGGAAAGACTGATAACTAAGACAACTTACCTAAAACAGTCTGGAGGGCTGCGATAAAACCGATCAGTCCAACAAAAAGCTTCATAATGCACCGTCACTTTGTATAATAACAAGACCACTCTTGGACGATAAAACATCAATTTAACAATTTTGTATGGATGTGATCATATGCACGTTCGTTGGTTGTTAGTATCCAGTAATTCCACTTAGATGTGTCCCCAGTCCATACATCAATGTTACACACTCTTGAACTTCTTGTTTCCAGAACTCCTATGCGAAGATACGTCGCAATAGGCTTAATGCTTAACAATATATTAAAATGCACTCCGTGTTGGAATCATTCCTGGAAACAAAAAGGTTGGATTGTTTCACATTATTTACGTTATGTATTCCCGTATTCAGTGTATCTTCAAACAGTATTGTAAAAATAAAAACTATTGATTGCAATACGGAAAATATCAAAGAAAACAAGTATAATTTTTCCCTGTAAGTGACATCAACAACAAGATGTAGGAAAATTAATTCTAAAATGCAATCACTGTATTGTTTTTATTGATCTTATATTTAAAAAATGCTCAAAATAAATGACCATATATGGTAATATACATGTGAATAGGACTCTCTCTCTCTCTCTGATCGAGCTTTACTTTATGGGCCTTTTCGTAACAAATATTATATTACCAATAATAATATTTATTAGAAAGGCGTTCTAATGGTTTCTTTGATGAATTTATTCCGGCTTTCAAAACGGTTGCCCGTATTGGAGTTAATCATTCAGATACGCGTGTGCAAGTTCGTAAATCATGGAACGAGTAACGTCTAACTGCATAACATTTTCTGTCTAAATTGTTCATTACCTTTTTCTACAAGCGATTTCACGCCCGGTGGTCGGACACAATGAATGTTTGCGTGGTATTTGTGATACGGGTAAATATGCCATACTCACCTGCGGTATATGGCATATTCCGCAAGTGAGTATGGCATATTCAACAGTGAATATGCGATACATTGATTTCAGTGATAATCTGACACTCACCTTTGGAATATGTCTTACTCATTTGCGGAATATGCCATAAACCGCAGGTGATTATGACATATACCGCAAGTGAAAACGGGATACAGAAGGCTTTGATTTGATTGGTCGCAAGAATCGACTCTAAATGTAAAACTACGCTGGATTGCCAATATAGTTAGTGCTTCGAGTAATAATATATTTAATACTTCTGCATTAGTTGATATATTCAATACACTCTACTGTTGATTAAGTAATCATTATAATAATTTATGAACTTTTACCCGTTCGTTAGATCGATGCAACTGACAATTGCGTACTTCCGTATCACGTTCTCATTGGTTAGTGAGTATGCCATATACCGTAGGTGAATCTGTCATACACCGCAAGTGAATATGCCATATTCGTTGCGGAATATGATATATTTGTATCGTGTTTACAGCGTAACAATTTCTGCAAGAATATTCAACAAATCTACAGGTACATTTTTCTCAAGAGAAAGTTTACTACTGAATTGCCAAATGAATAGGCGCAAGACATGGTAGAGTACGTTTAGTTTCTTCGGACTTATTTCAACCTATACGCTTCTAAGATATGAGATCTAATTTTTAAAAAGTGCATCATCACCAAAATGCAAAAGTCAATGTTTTGCTATAAATCAGGCAACAATGGTCTATACTACTTATAATAAACACTTATAAGGGACGTTATTAGCACAAACCTAATGCCATAGCTCGCTTTTTAAAGTTAGTTTCAATACATTATATAAAAAATATAATCGAAAAAATGAACGGAGGGCTAGTTATAGGTCTTTAAGATGGAACAAATTTACACGAACTCATGTATTTGAAAATTGAACTCAGTAACTCAGGCAGAAACTGGATATAACATCTCTGAGGAGTTAAAATTGGGGAAATTTGGAGTTATACGAAATATAGTCAAAGAACATCTCTTATCATGTCTTATAGAAACATAACTCCCCCCCTGCCTCCATTCACTTCAACCTCCGTTTAGTGACGATGCGCTGTTTTTAATAGATCTCATATCTTAGAAGCGTATGGGTTCAAAAAAATCATAGAAGACTTAATATATTTTACCATGTTGTGCCCCTATTCATTTAGCAATTCAATAGTAAGCTTTCTCTTGAAAAAATAAATCTTCCAGATTTGTTGGATTTTCTTGCAGAAATCGCCTCCCCCTCCGTTCATTTTGTCCGATCACCGTGTTTATGACTGACAATGAATATATGGAAGTCACCTATACGGGGATTGTTGACTGAAATATAGTACATTGTCGTAATTAAAGAAAATAACGTTTTTCTCACATTGAATCAAAACCATATAGAAAAGTAATAATCGATTGAACTCAACTGAAGTAATTGAAAGTTCAATATCTTTAAAGTAATGTTTTACAAAGTTCTATTCAAAGTGAAGAAGTAGCACTGTAATATTAACATATTCTTTGATATACATATTATCATGATTTTGTAACCAAATTCCTATGCAAACTTAATAGGTTTCTATTGAAGTATGTTTAGAGTGTATGTAAAACTCATTTTGAATCAATAGAGGTGAATGCGAGGTGTGGTAAAATAAGCCCTACCAATATTCAATGTCGTTTTTTACGAAGGATTTAAATAAACTGTATTTTGAAATTGTAAACAAATCCCACGTGACTAGCAATAAAAAACAGCTGAAAGTCAAGGTGACTCGTAAGAGAATAAAAACCTTTAAAATTACTTTCAATGTCGTATCATAGTTTCTAATAATATTTATATGAAATTCAAAGGTCAATGCGTTCTACATTACCTTTACAGTGATATTCCACATGCACAATTTGTCATGTGTTTTGATGTATTGTACTGAAATGTGTTTTGATGTATTGTACTGAAATGAAAATAATGCTATTCGTCTTTATCTCAAGTAAAGTTGTTTGCTACTTTTGCAATTATTTTATTAAACCTCTGCATTCAACTTTCCGTGAACACATACGTACCTGGATCCATTGCTTAACCGTACATTGTTTCATAATTATATAAATAAAAGGAATGTACATAAAAGACATGTATAAAGGAATTGTTAAAAGAATACAAGAAATAGTTATGATATATATAAATTGACTGCATGTAAAACTTTTGAGGGGATGTATAGGACCTGGATTCGAAGTGAAGGTTCATTGGGAATGTATGTTACTATCATATCAAGTGCGGTTTGAGAAAATAGTCAGATCATTTTAAAAATGATTCAAAATAGTGAAGGTGTACTAGAAAAAGTAATGAACTAAACTATTTAATATATTAATATCTATTTAATAATACTAGTCGAGAAATGCTAGGACCGTATCATTATAAAATCCACGGGTCTGATATAAGCACACGCTGACATTTTATTTAAATGCGCAATTTTTGGTTTTGCGTAGTGTAACATTTGGAGCGTTCTTGTGTCAAAATCTAGAGCTGCCTACGAATTTAATGTTCGATATATTTAAGAAAAACTGAAAATAATGATTTCAATGTGTAAAATGATTTATTTACCTTACGAATGATCAACTGTCTTTTGACTTGTGTCCATAGAGTTCCACGTTTAATCCACCAACTCCGTTTTTGTAATGTCTCTGATGCCAATAAAATCGAAATAACCATTGGAAGAAATACGCATGCGCACAGTAAAAATGACTTAAAGAACAAAACAAAAAAACAAAGTACCTCCACCACACTCACGGTCGTAAATAAAACCATAATTTTAATTCAAAATACGCAGAGTGGGAATCAGAACTGTAATGTACGCTCCTCACAATAGTAAAATTTTAAAAACATGGTTTGCTACATGTCTCTACGTTAGACAATAGGTCGTTAAGTAAATCTTCGACGTCATTCCCTACACACACCATATGCACTCTTAAAAAATATTACTTGGATTTCCTTATATTATATTATATTTCTTTATATTATATTGAGAACTTGTACTACTCATTTTAAGTAAAAGATTACTTAATTAATCTTGAACTACTGAATAATTTTTTAGTAATTCAAAGTAATTACAAGTAATTATAAGTAATTTAAAACAATAATATATATATTAATTAAAAAAAATTAAAATGACTTCACAGGCACTCTGAATTTATGGTGAATTTACTAATGCAAGGAGAGAAATTGAAATACTTACTGTAGTAATTGTAATACTCAAAATGACAACATAAGTAAAACCTAAGTAAAATGAAGTAAAACTAAGTATATAACTTTAAGTAATTTTTATACTTGGGAAATACTCAAGTAATTCATTTTTAAGAGTGTACTCATACAGTGACATGTGCATGTTATTATGAAAGATGTCTGTTGAAATATATATGTGCGGTGGGGTATTCTATTTTACCTTCCCCGTTAGTTATTTCGAATGCAAACTTGGCAGCGATCTCAATTTAAGCTCATCTCTAAAATATTTGTTCAAATAATGTTTTTATGTTAAAACCGCAAGATCCAGGTGTTTAGGATTACCTTGCGCTGGTTCTATTCTCTAAGGTCTCGCTTCATAAAGCTGTATGTTTGTAATTCGTCCTCTTACTCTAAATGAAGTTACGATTTCTAACTGTATATCTACCTTCTTTAAAACTCAATGTTATAACTTACAAGAGTGCTTTTGATGATTCAAAATAGAATGAAACATTTTCTTGAATATTTGAGTTTCCCGCCATTTTAGCGGTTTCAATGTTTATACAAGGGTGGTTCAAAAAGTTTTGCACTATGTGGTAATGTATGTATGTTTATATGTAATGAACCAACCTTGTTCATAGTTGGTAGGTATGTACTCCCATCTTATTCCGTTACACTGTCAAGGTTTCATGTATATACGTATACTACTTAACATTCTACTGCTGCTATAGCAACCAAGGCTATGACGCAATGGTCCATATCATTTTGTAAAAAGAAAACTAGTTATATTCAAAGAACAATATTACTAATCATGCTAAATCTACTTACATAAACTGTCAACTTAGATTTAAACAATATCTAGTTTTGTTCCCATGGGAAAAGTGAATCTAATATCATAGACTATCAATATTTCCTGTTTTCTTTGATCATGCCAAAGAATGACCGTAAACATACTCTTCAAACATCTTGAAAAAATCACCTGATTTTATGACATTATCAAATTTCTCATATTGGAAAATATTGCTTAAAATAATAAAGTTGAAGCAGAAAACATTGAAAGAGTACTTGATAAAGAATGGGGAAACAGCATTGAATATAATGTCTCCAATATAGGCATTGCGAAGTATCTAAGATGGAATTAGAAGGGAAGGGAAAATGTACTGAGGGTAGCTGTAGTCATGAAAAGGCTCAACATGTTATATCTATGTTGGTTTAGACATTTACTTATGGACTGGGCATAATGCTACAAGTAATGCATTACCAAATAGAAAGACTACATATTTAGTATTATTACCACCTTGCAGGGCCTGTTCTAGGGGTTTTAGTAGTAGTTGAGAAGGCATTTAAATTGCTATATTGACGTGAGCAATATTGTGTCGGGCGTTGATGACTTTAGTCGGGCAATAATGACATTATCCGCCTGGCTATGTTTCCCGGGAAAAGTGATATCGTTCAGTGCGTAAGATTTTCTATTTCAAATTTGCTATTTCAGCCCTGGGCATTAACGGTGGTAATAATAGTAATAACGTCATTTCTGTGGGCAAAAAAAGTGAAATATTGGTCCAATATTTCACTATATTGCCCTTTGAAATGACGTTATTGCACTATTAAATATAGATTAGTTATAACATAACCTGACTAACAGCTGAAAGAACAAAGATTGACCGAACCATTTCAGCCTATCAAGGCATTCACAAAATTAATTCAATTGAATGACGTCATATGGACTATGGGCCCATTGGTTCAAAAGTCAATGTATCTCAGGAAGTATACTCCTTATGGTCCTGAAATTGTATATATGATTGTCAGAAGGGTGATGCTATATCTGTATCAGATTTAATGTAAAAATGATAAAATCTCTTCTCTGGAGAATAGAATAGAACTCTACATGGTGGGCCAAATACATCCACATATTTTTTTTCTACATTATAATAACTTAGTTTTAAATATATGGATTTCAACTAAATTTTCCCGGATAGGCAGAAATCAAAGGTCGATCAAAGGATAGGTATCGATATGGTGAACTGAATTCAACAATGTTTTTCTCTTAAACCTATTATTAAAAACATTCTGTAAAAAACACGGTATTTTATGTCATGTTGACTGATTGAAATATTTTATATAACTGTTTTTGCTAACATTTTTTGTTTTTTAGTGCAAATTTTTTTGCTCCTTTCTACCAATTCTTGAGGATGAAATAAAATGTCTTTCTGAACCTTGTTGGAACAAAATAGCATAGACAACATATTTTAGACCTCTCAATATTCTAGTTATACAAAGGAATTTTCGGTGGAACCTTTTATTTCATTAACAAGATACTTTTTTTAAATCAACCAAAATTTCCTTTGTACAATTACAATATTGAGAGACCTAAACATGGTGTGTTTATGTCGTTTTGTTCCAATGAGGTTCGGAAAGATGTTTCATTCACTCTGGAAACATGAAACCAAGAACAAAACAAGTGTTTGATGTGTTTTCTAAAACAATATAGATGAAAGTATATATTTTTTTTGTTTATTTTATTAGTTGCTTTGTTGTAAAGGTGTTGCTATAAAACTCAGATTCAAGTATAATTTCATTTTAATAATATTTATTCAATTTCCTGGAATATCACTGTGAATTACACTCTGAACAATTAATTCATGGTTGAGTTTTTGGAAAGACCCAATTTGAAGCCGTCATCCACCTTGATAATGCGCCTGCCCGCGGGTCACCATTAAAAACCATGCAGCTATAGAGGGGCCAGATCTTGAGTTCTAAAACCATGCACCATACTCTTCTGATCATGCAATATCTAATTTTTACTAACATGGAGAATGGAATGCTAATCAGTGCTGTAAGATCTTCAAAGATGAGAATGACCTTCTCCAAGTTGTTCATTCGACCATGCGTGACATATCCTCAAATGGGTTCACTTATGTGTTTGGGTCATGGATACAGAGTACTACCCTTGTACTGACCAAGAGGAACCTAGTTTCAAAGTAGTGGATACATAGGAATATCAAATTATGTGAAACAAATGTAATTCCCACCAGTTGTTGCATTTTAACTTTGATATGGGATGTGCAAAATGCTTAATGTCTCTTTCTGTCTTAATGTCACTTTCTGCGTGGAATGTTGCCCCGGATATTGTGATGTCATGTTACCATAGCAACCATAACTCTACCCGAGCTACATATTTTTTGTCGAAACTTTGCGGTTTTAGTAATGATATATGAAAGTACATTATGTAAAATTCTGAAGACGATTGGTGCATATTTAACAAAATGCCAGCACCAGTCCTGTTACTTTTGGAACACCCTGTATATATATATTTCAAATTATATTGTTACCATTCAAAAGATTGACGATGTGTTAGATGTTTAGATTTTTTCATGACTGGTTTAAGAGAAACGTGTGTTCAAAAAGTTCACCATATCGATACCACTCCTTTAGGTGAAAATGATGTTCTCTCTCTAATCTTCAGTAAGATGAAACCTCTGGCTCGATCAGGAACCATAATGATCTTCCTTGCCCCAAATAAGATCGCAGAAAAAATTCTCCCGTGCAGACAGATTCTATGTTTTCATTAAATAGTATAAGCTCGTTCTATTTCCGCCTTGTTTTGGATATAGACCATATAGTTCATAACTTATATAGTGAATACACTTTCAAATCAAAAAAGCCATATTGCAAGGTGATCTGACATTTATTGACTGAGATACAATGTTCTCAATATTATTTTGTGGCGTAGAACTCTCCACGACTCGCGTTTTGGTCCAAATAATTTGAGTAAAAAGACGATTTTTAAAAACTGGTGGTCATATATCCATGAACATTTTTGGGATGTCCTGAACATGTCTGTCAGATGTCTGCAAAAGAATATATATCCATTTTTAGTTTTTGTAAGAATAATGTTTTTTGTCTCTCCTTCCCCAAGATTTTCCAATTCCGCAACTGTTCTTAGTAATTTTCCAATCTAAATATGCATGTAATTTACAAAATAGTAAATACAAGTATATATGCATCAAAATATGATGGTGTAAACATTTAACCCCAACTTAAACCTAACAAAATCAATTTTAATCTCTGTATAAGTATGGCAGATTAGACTACCATATATATTTATAAGAAACAATTATGTTTAAAGATGTCGTTAAAATATACCACGTGCTATTATGTATAAAGACTATATGAGCGGCATCTTTATTGGTTTTAGCAAACACTAGATTATAAATCCGAAAGTATTGCTATGTGTCAAGAAAAAAGATGTCGCTAAAATGTATATATTGCACACTACGTTTGTCATAATGCCTTCGTGGCTTGTATGGCATTCTACAGTTGTCACAATGCATTCGTTGTTTATATGGCACCATCATTTGGTTAGGATGCCTTCATGGCTTGTATGGCATCCTACTTGTGTCACAATTCGTTCATGATTAATATGGCACCCTACGTGTGTCACAATTCGTTCATGATTAGTATGGCACCCCACGTGTGTCACAATGTGTTCACGGCTTGTATGGCATCCTACGTGTGTCACATTTCGTTCATGATTTGTATGGCACCCCACGTGTGTCACAATGTGTTCATGGCCTGTATGGCATCCTACGTGTGTTACACTGCATTCACGGTTTGTATGATGTCCTACGTATGTCATAATACCTTTGTGGCTTGTATGTCATCCTACGTGTGTAACAATGCATGTAATCCTGGTTTGTATTGCATTCAACATGTGCCACAATACGTTCAAGACTTGTAGGGCTTCCTACCTGTGTCACAATGCGTTCACAGACCGATGGTATCATACGCGTGCCACGATGCGTTCGAGACTTCTATGGCATCCTGCGTGTGCCACAATGCGTTTATGGTTTGCTTGGCATCCTACCTGTGTCACAATCCATTCATGGTTTTCATCGGTAAATGATATAATTACCAATACTCCCCTTCGATATATTCAAATTAAAAAGATTTCAAAAGAACACTAGAAACAAAGGCACCCCCCCCCTTCCTTCTACAGCGAAAGGTATTTAATGTTACATGGCGTGTCATATCTCATTTTAACGAAAACAAAATTCTGAAGTTACATGAGAAATTTTAGCTTTGTATCATATAATTTTACAGATTTACAGTATACCTAACCCTGACATCAATTTAGCACTGCTTATATACATAATGTAGGTACAGGAAGAACATGTTTTGTATATCATATAAGACACCCTATCCCTGACATCAATTAAGCATTGCTTATATACATAATGTAGGTACAGGAAGAACATGTTTTGTATATCATATAAGACACCCTAACCCTGACATCAATTAAGCATTGCTTAAATACATAATGTAGGTACAGGAAGAACATGTTTTGTATATCATATAAGACACCCTATCCCTGACATCAATTAAGCATTGCTTATATACATAATGTAGGTACAGGAAGAACATGTTTTGTATATCATATAAGACACCCTAACCCTGACATCAATTAAGCATTGCTTAAATACATAATGTAGGTACAGGAAGAACATGTTTTGTATATCATATAAGACACCCTATCCCTGACATCAATTAAGCATTGCTTATATACATAATGTAGGTACAGGAAGAACATGTTTTGTGTATCATATAAGACACCCTATCCCTGACATCAATTAAGCATTGCTTATATACATAATGTAGGTACAGGAAGAACATGTTTTGTATATCATATAAGACACCCTAACCCTGACATCAATTAAGCATTGCTTATATACATAATGTAGGTACAGGAAGAACATGTTTTGTATATCATATAAGACACCCTAACACTGGCATCAATTTCGCATGGCTTATATAAATGATGTATGTAAAGGAGGATCATATAATATGCATATCATATAAGGTACTGTAACGACCCTTGATAGTAAGTTGCTACTACAGTCCGGCTGTAGTGGCCATTCTTTATAGCTCAGTCGGTAGAGCATCAGACTTCGGATCCAAGGGTCCTAGGTTCGATTTCCATGCGGGGCATTGAATTTAGTACACTTTCTTTCAATTTCTTTATCTGGCTTGTTACACTATGCTCGTTGTGGTCATTAGATAGTATTCCCCTGGGGCGCCCTCGGGTCATTACAGTACCCTTACCCTGGCACTAATTTCACATTGCTGATTTACATAATGTAGGTAAAGGAAGACCATATAAGGTATATTATTATGTATATCATATAAGGTACCCTGACATCAATGTCGCATAATGTAGGTAATGGAGGACCATATGAGTTATATCATATAAGGTACCCGGGAAGGTACCCTAACACTGGCATCAATTTCGTATCGCTTATATACATAATGTAGGTAAAGGAGGAACAATGAATGCACATTGTGTATATCATATAAGATACCCTATCCCTGACATCAATTTCGCATCGCTTATATACATAATGTAGGTAAAGGACGAACATATTATGTATATCAAATAAGATACCCTATCCCTGACATCAATTTCGCATCGCTTATATACATAATGTAGGTAAAGGGGGAACATATTTTGTATATCATATAAGGCACCCTTACCCTGACATCAATTTTGCATCGCTCATACACATAATGTAGGTAAAGGAGGAACAATGAATGCACATTGTGTATATCATATAAGATACCCTATCCCTGACATCAATTTCGCATCGCTTATATACATAATGTAGGTAAAGGACGAACATATTATGTATATCAAATAAGATACCCTATCCCTGACATCAATTTCGCATCGCTTATATACATAATGTAAAGGGGGAACATATTTTGTATATCATATAAGGCACCCTTACCCTGACATCAATTTTGCATCGCTCATACACATAATGTAGGTAAAGGAGGAACATTGAATGTATATTATGTATCATATAAGATACCCTAGGCCTAACCCTGACATCAATTTCGCATCGCTTATATACATAATATAGTTGCAGTTATATATTATGTTCTGTCAGATAAAATAGAGTGACAAATATGTTTAAAACTACGTGAGTTTGATGACGTTGGTATGGGTCTTCTTATGACATTAATCACGATTTATATATTTGACAAAGAGTTGAGAAATTGCGACGTTGATTAATTCATTTTGTTTATTTTTTATTGTGAATTTTAATAGTTAAATCCGTTTTTAGATGTAATATAGTTCTACTTTTTACTATTTTTTGTCAACGCTAAACATATTTTGTTCAGTTGTGTTTTTGATGTTATTATTATTTGTAAACCATCTTCATCAAATGTTTAGATGTTTCAAATATAATATATCAATGCCACTTTGATGACTTCAATGATAAATGTGTCCTCGTTGCCTTCTTGATGATTGGTTGGCTTGAATCTTGTTCTGCCCCGAATATTTTAATGGGTTTAATTTAATGGTTTGATAACAACAGTATTGAATAATTGACATACATACTTGTTCATGAACTGATATAAAGGCTGACGTTGGTGGCACTTAGCATCATTCAGATGATCTATCTGGCATCAAACATAACACAAGAGACTCGACTGAAGCTGAGCAATTCAACATTGCAGTGATGAACTCGGAAAAGAAAAATCTGCCACCGATTGTGTTTCAGGTAACTGCAAATTTTCTATTATAATATATAGAATTACTAAAATAAGGTGGGACTTAAAATGGCAAGTTGCAAAATGGTAATTTATTCAAATAGCTGGTTTTCTGATATTATTTTAAACACAAGCTCATTTTTAAGAAAGTCACGTCGGGGCTGAACGATGCTTGACAAACATCATTTTCTTCAGAAAGACTTATACTGTGCATCGAAATCAAAATTACCAGAATGGTATTCAATAGACATGAGTATAATAATTTCCGTTGACACCAACTTGAAATTTCAAAATATTCCGTTCGGAATACGGAACTCTGAAACTGAACGGACTAAAGCGCTTAAAGGGCATACAAAAGTATGCGCGCTCGACACATTCCTTTATCGTATGATCTGTAAAATGAAGCCCTCTGATTGGTCAGTTCTTGTGCTGTACCAATCTGTATTGCTACTGAGATTGTCCGCGTTGATCATCTCCGTCGCAATACAGAAAATATTGGTACGGAGGAGACAATCTCAGTAGCAATACAGAGGATATCACGATAAAAACGTTATTGAATGATTTGAAGTGCAATACAGGATATATTCTGTCTCGATATTCTTATAATATCGATTCATGTACTTTCCGTTCACCGTTACGTTGTGAAATACGGTGCAAGCGTATACTCTCTATTACCCCCCCCCCCCTATCACACCAAACTAGTTCTTACCCGTTCTTGCCAGTCCTACGAAAAAGTCGTAAAACGGGCTCAATCTGGCTGTGGTCGGGAAATATGTCTAAAATAATTAGCTACTTCGTTCATAAACAGTCTTCAATACGTCTATCTCATACGCAGTTCGTTCAGGTCGCACCAGGTCGGTATGCAACGTCGTATAACGCGTCCCTTAGTCTAGAAGGTCATCATCACCTGATCACAGAACGGTATGGTCGCCATCGAATTTTGAATCGATTCAAAATTCTAAAATCACCTTCCCGTCTGAGAACGTTCATGAAGTTCGTAAATAGACCTTAGAAAGTTGCAGCTACGTTCATTCCGTTCGCACACAGTTTAAAACCAGTTTTGAAGAACGCAGTGGCAACTTGTTTGGTGTGATAGCTATATTTTTGCTAACCTGTTCATAAGCAGTCTTAAATACGTTCTTAAACAGTTTAAACCCGTTTGCAATTAGTTCTACCTCGTTCTCAAAACGTCCTCAGACCGTTCAACTCGTTGTTAAAACGTCCCGAGTAGGATTGAAGTACGACGTTCGTAGTACGTCCAGCTCGTCGTTAGTACGTTGTCACTCGTTCTAATTGTAGAGCGTATCGACCACGAGAACATTTTGAGTATGTTCTAAGTTCTAGGGGACCTACCCGTTCGAGTACGTTCGATGAAGTTTGTAAATAGACCTCAAACGGTTCTAAGTTCGTCCAGTCCGTTCGTACACAGTTGAAGCCCGTTTTCGAGGACGTAGTGAAAACTAGTTTGGTGTGATAGTCATCTATTGATGAGTCATGTTATGCTAAAAGTATTTAATCCACGTCAGCAGTATTGAGTAGCATACCTATGATTATGTATGGTATAAATTCTTCACAAGACAGCGGACCAATATAAGTTTTGAAAAGCCCCCCCCCCCCCCCCGCTAACTTTGTGATTTGTCAAGGCACGGAGACTACAACGCGCGTACGAACCGGATCGAATACACAGAGACATATAAACTGAACTACATGAGCATCTGAAAATCAGGAAAACATTTCAGAAAAAACATGCCGGTGGGTTGTTTGCATCTTCCCTCTCAAAGTCGAAATTATGTTATCATCTTTAGGAGTGCTTTTCCTGGAGGTAATACATTGGTCTAACAGATGCACCTGTTTCAGTCCTCCGAAAATAGCCAAAATCCGACATATGACTGTCCGAAATCTGTTGCGATACTTTGCCTTCTCCTTAACATCTTTAACAGCTACCAGAGCAACTCAGATTATACATACCCTCTGTATCAAAAGTATTTTCCTATTGAGAAAACCCTTAAAAAGTAAATAGCAAGTAAATTGTGATGAAACTTTATACACATAATTTCACGTTCTGTGAAAATCTGAAAACAATTGATTAACAAGTTTGTGACGTCAAACTTACCTTATTAGATTATCAAACTGAACAAAATCAGGCTGCTCTGCAAAATTATGCACACAAAAGTCTTTCTGTATAAAATGCTAATTATGAGCAGAATATGCTATTGCATATACTCTCAATATCCTCATAATATGTTATTACATATACTCTGGATGTCCCAATACATTTTCCTAACAGCCGTAGACCATGTAATACTACACTTTACACTTTCCTGCCCGAAATTACATCAAGAATATCTTGAAGATAAACCCCCGAGACAATCATATTAACACATTAGTCACAAAAATCATACTTGTCTAATAATGTGATTGGGCAGGAAAGTTGTAAGTATTAAAGAAATATAGTATAACACTAAACAGTAATGCAACATTGTTATAAGACCCAGGTGTAAGGACTTTAATTTTGCATCTTATTACACAGCTTTCAGTGACATATCTATTTTATAAAGTATAAAACTGTCATGAACTTGATCATTTGTAAAGTCTATAACATATTCTGATTGCTCATGATAAGCATTTTATATATAAAGACGTTGTCCGCTTAGTTTTACAGAGCAGCCTGGTTTTGGTCAGTTTAAATTTGGTAATCAAAGGTAAATCTGACGTCACAAACTTGTAAAAAATCACATCGGTGTTTTGGTATATGCTATGTTATATTCTTTATGTAAGATTTTGAGTAAAAATTAATCAATTTTCGGATAATGTGTATGATATGCCTTAAATTATGTGTGGCAAGTGTCATTAAGTCTAGTGGTGATTTGCTGAAGTTATTTGAGATTTTCCTTTATAGGAAAATACTTTTGATATAGAGGGTATAATCTTTTATATTTACCAGAAACGTTTAATATGTATGACAATACATCCTAAAACAATCTGCGTTCTTGATCATTTATATGAAAAGATATTAACCGTTTTCAATGTAGCCCTCAGTTTTGTCTCAAAGGGGGTATAAATAGTATTTCCCCCAAACGCTGACATATTTTACTTAATTAAGGTCAAAGAGGTACATGTATGAGTAATGTGTATGAGGGATATGACTAATGTGGCCTTCGAAATTCCCCTTCATACAGCAAATTGATTGCTAGCCAATGCTTATATTCTTTTCATATATTTAAACACAGCCATAGTGTTTAGACTCAGACTAAGCATAGAGAATTCTGTCACTTCTGCAGTTACCATGTGATCTTATCAATGAAAACTCTACTAATAATTCAGTCTAGGTGCAATTTTAGCCAACATGATGTGAAAGTTGATGCTGTATTTTCTCTGTTAAATCATTTTTCAACATTATAGTGTTTAAAATTCAATTCTGACCAATATATTCAAGTAACCTCATCTTTCTAATACATGTCATGTTAGTGTAGTTTCGTTGTCTGTTTTTGCATAATTAGTACTCTGTGATCGATCAATACTAGAAACATAAGAAGGTGGCAGTTCTGTTTGTCACATCGGGGGCTGCTTTTGAAATATATACAACCAATACCTGAATATATATTCAATTAATATCTAAATGACGTTTAAGGACCCCGAGAACCCTGCAGCTAAGTCCAACAAGAAGTACGTCATAGCAGCAGCAACTGTTGTGTTGATTCTGGTCATCACACTGGGTGGAGTTCTGTTGACGCTGAAACTCACCAATGAGTTTGCTAGTGACACTATCAAGGTAAACAGAAGATGCAAAAATTAAAAGATGTAAATAAAGACAAGGCAGTAACAAATAAATATAATATATATTATACAGTAGTTATAATTTATATATGTATGCACGGGTGCCAGTGGGAAGGTGCCCGCGGTGCAATTTGCTCACGCAGCACTTAATGAGCCTTACCCGCAGATATCACGAAAAAGTTAAACAGACCTCTCATATTTTCAATAAAACCGCTCGTCCAAGCACACTTACTCACACAATTATTTTGAAAGACACCACAGTTTATTGCAATGGAACTCGCCACCGCGAGTCTTCTCGACAAGGTTGGCACAGCGGTAATCAGCGGTGTACGTACTGTAACATTCAGCCTAATTATGGTAGTGTGGATGTTGTTTAATAGACTGTGTCACTGTGGGTCTCAGGGTATACGTTAAATATACACGTGGGAAATCTGTACATAACAACTTATATACAATTAAATACAATAACACGTATATTGTGGCGTTTTAGCCCGTCAAAATAATACATGGAAATCGATGTTTTCAGTTACTGAGGCACTATATAAAAGTTCTTGATATGCAATGATAGTTTTTGAAGCACTAATATTAGAGTCCTCTATACGAAAATACTTGTACTCTCAATTGTCTCTTGTGCTCTGGACTTGTTCAATTCAGCTAGGTATAAATCTGGGAATAACAGTCTCTCATTACAGCTTCAGTGATTATGCCTTGGAATAACAGTCTCTCAATGAAGGCAAATCTCAAGCTGGCCTGAAATAAAATAACTAAGTCTGGAATCAACTTAGTTCCTCAATCAAGCTGGAGTTATATAAACTAAGTCTGGAAATGACAAAGTTTCTCAATATAGCAGTAATTCCTCAATCAGGCTAGAGTTATCTAAACTAAGTCTGGAAATGGCAAAGTTCCTCAATATGTGGAATCTGCCCAAGATTCCCAGTAGTTCCCAAATAAACTAAGTGTCTCGTACTTAGTTTCCATCAAAGTCATCCAGGTTGGGGTGACACTATTCAACGTCCCCAACAGGCAACATCGATGAAGATCTTCTAAGTTCCTCAATATGTGGAATCTGCCTAAGATTCCCAGTAGCTCCCAAATCGATGAAGATCCTCTAGGTTCCTCAATATGTGGAATCTGCCTAAGATTCCCAGTAGCTCCTAAATCGATGAAGATCCTTTAAGTTCCTCAATATGTGGAATCTGCCTAAGATTCCCAGTAGCTCCTAAATCGATGAAGATCCTCTATGTTCCTCAATATGTGGAATCTGCCTAAGATTCCCAGTAGCTCCTAAATCGATGAAGATCCTCTAAGTTCTTCAATATGTGGAATCTGCCTAAGATTCCCAGTAGCTCCTAAATCGATGAAGATCCTCTAAGTTCCTCAATATGTGGAATCTGCCTAAGATTCCCAGTAGCTCCTAAATCGATGAAGATCCTTTAAGTTCCTCAATATGTGGAATCTGCCTAAGATTCCCAGTAGCTCCTAAATCGATGAAGATCCTTTAAGTTCCTCAATATGTGGAATCTGCCTAAGATTCCCTGTAGTTCCTAAATCGATGAAGATCCTTTAAGTTCCTCAATATGTGGAATCTGCCTAAGATTCCCAGTAGCTCCTAAATCGATGAAGATCCTTTAAGTTCTTCAATATGTGGAATCTGCCTAAGATTCCCAGTAGCTCCTAAATCGATGAAGATCCTTTAAGTTCTTCAATATGTGGAATCTGCCTAAGATTCCCAGTAGCTCCTTAATCGATGAAGATCCTCTAAGTTCCTCAATATGTGGAATCTGCCTAAGATTCCCAGTAGCTCCTAAATCGATGAAGATCCTTTAAGTTCCTCAATATGTGGAATCTGCCTAAGATTCCCAGTGGCTCCTAAATCGATGAAGATCCTCTAAGTTCCTCAATATGTGGAATCTGCCTAAGATTCCCAGTAGCTCCTAAATCGATGAAGATCCTTTAAGTTCTTCAATATGTGGAATCTGCCTAAGATTCCCAGTAGCTCCTAAATCGATGAAGATCCTTTAAGTTCTTCAATATGTGGAATCTGCCTAAGATTCCCAGTAGCTCCTTAATCGATGAAGATCCTCTAAGTTCCTCAATATGTGGAATCTGCCTAAGATTCCCAGTAGCTCCTTAATCGATGAAGATCCTTTAAGTTCCTCTATATGTGGAATCTGCCTAAGATTCCCAGTAGCTCCTAAATCGATGAAGATCCTTTAAGTTCCTCAATATGTGGAATCTGCCTAAGATTCCCAGTGGCTCCTAAATCGATGAAGATCCTCTAAGTTCCTCAATATGTGGAATCTGCCTAAGATTCCCAGTAGCTCCTAAATCGATGAAGATCCTTTAAGTTCCTCAATATGTGGAATCTGCCTAAGATTCCCAGTAGCTCCTAAATCGATGAAGATCCTTTAAGTTCCTCAATATGTGGAATCTGCCTAAGATTCCCAGTAGCTCCTAAATCGATGAAGATCCTTTAAGTTCCTCAATATGTGGAATCTGCCTAAGATTCCCTGTAGTTCCTAAATCGATGAAGATCCTTTAAGTTCCTCAATATGTGGAATCTGCCTAAGATTCCCAGTAGCTCCTAAATCGATGAAGATCCTTTAAGTTCTTCAATATGTGGAATCTGCCTAAGATTCCCAGTAGCTCCTAAATCGATGAAGATCCTTTAAGTTCTTCAATATGTGGAATCTGCCTAAGATTCCCAGTAGCTCCTTAATCGATGAAGATCCTTTAAGTTTCTCAATATGTGGAATCTGCCTAAGTTTCCCAGTAGCTCCTAAATCGATGAAGATCCTCTAAGTTCCTCAATATGTGGAATCTGCCTAAGATTCCCTGTAGTTCCTAAATAAACTAAGTGTCTCGTCGGGGGTGACACTATTCAACTTCCCCAACAGGCAACAGCGATGAAGATCCTCTAGGTTCCTCAATATGTGGAATCTGCCTAAGATTCCCCGTAGCTCCTAAATCGATGAAGATCCTCTAAGTTCCTCAATATGTGGAATCTGCCTAAGATTCCCTGTAGTTCCTAAATAAACTAAGTGTCTCGTCGGGGGTGACACTATTCAACTTCCCCAACAGGCAACAGCGATGAAGATCCTCTAGGTTCCTCAATATGTGGAATCTGCCTAAGATTCCCCGTAGTTCCTAAATAAACTAAGTGTCTCGTACTTAGTTTCCATTAAGTCATCCAGGTTGAGTGCAAATATTCCAAGTTCCTCAACAGCTCCTCCAAATGAGCTGAGTTTCTGGTACTTATTCTCAATCAGGTTTGAGTTATATAGACAATGTCGGGAAATGACAGAGTTTCTCAGTCCAGCTGTATTTCCATAATCAGGCTGGAATATTCCTCAATCCAGCAGAGTCCTTCAAACAGGCTTGAGTTGTCTCAACTATGTCGGGAAATGACAGAGTTTCTCAGTCCAGCTGTATTTCTTCAGTCAGGCTGGGATATTATATAAACAATGTCGGGAAATGACAGAGTTTCTCAATCCATCAAAGTTCCTCAATCAGGCTGGAATATTATGAACTTTGTCTGGGAATGGCAAAGTTCCTCAATCCAATAGTATTTCTTCAGTCAGGCTGGAATATTGTATAAACTATGTCGGTAAATGACAAAGTTTCTCAATCCAGAAAAGTTCCTCAATCAGGCTGGAATATTATGAACTTTGTCTGGAAATGGCAAAGTTCCTCAGTCCAGTAGTATTTCTTCAGTCAGGCTGGAATATTGTATAAACTATGTCGGGAAATGACAAAGTTTCTCAATCCAGAAAAGTTCCTCAATCAGGCTGGAATATTATGAACTTTGTCTGGAAATGGCAAAGTTCCTCAGTCCAGTAGTATTTCTTCAGTCAGGCTGGAATATTGTATAAACTATGTCGGGAAATGACAAAGTTTCTCAGTCCAGCAAAGTTCCTCAATCAGGCTGGAATATTATGAACTTGGAAATATAATTCAGATCTCATTTGGTGAGCTTGCTTAGGTAGCAGATGGACGTTTCATTGTAATCGAACTTCAACACTGAGAATCCTGGAAATGGCAAAGTTCCTCAATCCAGCAGTATTTCTTCAGTCAACAAATTGATGACAAATAATTGATCTAAAAATGGCTAAGTTTCTCAAGTTAACTAAATTATGAAAAGAATAATGTAAGTTTCTCAACCTCAAAAATGGCAAAGTTTCTCAAGTTAACAATTGATTTCGAAAAATGGCAAAGTTTCTCAAGTTAACAATAGAAAAAAAAACAAGTTACTTAATAACACCTGAAAATACAAGTTGATGGCACTCCTTCTCAATCAGGCTGGAATAATGTAAACTAAGTCTGGTAATGACAAAGTTTCTCGTTCCAGCAGTAATTCTTTAATCGGCTGAAATATTATAAAAACTTTGCCTGGAAATGACAAAGTTTCTCGGTTCAGCAGTATTTCATCAAACGGCTTGAATACTCTAAACTATGCCTGGAATTGACAAAGTTCATCGATCTAGCAGTAATTCTTCAATCGGGCTGAAATATTCTAAAACTTTGCCTGGAAATGACAAAGTTTCTCGGCTCAGCAGTATTTCATCAAACGGGCTGGAATATTCTAAACTATGCCTGGAAATGACAAAGTTTCTCGGTCCAGCAGTATCTCTTCAATCAGGCTGGAGTTATCTAAACTATGTCTGGACATGACAAAGTTCCTCGATCCAGCAGTATTTCTTCAAACAGGCTGAAATATTCTAAAACTTTGCCTGGAAATGACAAAGTTTCTCGGTTCAGCAGTATTTCATCAAACGGGCTGGAATATTCTAAACTATGCCTGGAAATGACGACGTTTCTCGATCCAGCAGTAATTCTTCAGTCGGGCTGAAATATTCTAAAACTTTGCCTGGAAATGACAAAGTTTCTCGGTCCAGCAGTATCCCTTCAATCAGGCTGGAGTTATCTAAACTATGTCTGGAAATGACAAAGTTCCTCGATCCAGCAAATCTTCTAAGTTTCTCATCAATCCTCAAATGAAACACTGGCACGGGAGATGTGTTCCCATCAAATGTTGCCTACGTGTCTGGCTTGTTGTATGCTCACTCCGTATTTATACCCCTGACATGTATGGAACATGTAGTATGATCACGTGAATGGCTGATGCAATACCTCGTCACCGGATGTAATCACTGAATCAGGATATTAGTTTCGTAAAAATAACTGGCTTCACTTACAAATCACGATCTCGGCTTTTACACCCAATATCAATACATGTTTGGTACATAATCAACAAGATTATAGTATAAACTCAATAAATATAACCATAAATGATCGCTATCTAGTCTAATTACGCTTCGATTTGATCGAATTGAAAGCAGGAAGTGATAATTTCTGTAAAATGATAGTCAAGAGTTCTCGATCAACCGTAACCATAGTCACTGGTAAAACTACCCGATCAACATTAACTAAATCTGAACTCGATAAAATAAAAAGTTGCTAACACCTCTGTAAGTACAAATAAAGTGCTTTAATCGATACTACAATCAAAGATCTTAATAATCTCAACTGTGAAGCACTTAAATCAAAAAAATTTAAAATCAAAATTTTGTTACAGTACGCTTGGGTGAGCTGTTTTTGTTGAAAACGTGCGATTATGTAATTTGCATGGAGGAGCTTATTGCTTTTCGTGATACCTGTGGGGAAGGCTCACTAGGTGCTGCGAGAGCAAATTGCGAACGTGGCATGGGCAGTACAAAAATGAAGCCTCGATCAATTAGGGGCGGAGAATTCTGATTTTGTAACTGATACTCGGAGGATGTTTTCGAATGAATTAATTGAATGTATTAAGAGATGTAAATACCAATATGTAAATCAGGTGGTATTATGTAATGGGATGACAAGGCCGTTAATACCTTATACAAGATGAATGTGATATATTTGTTAGGAGTACAAACTTTCAAGGGAAACCATTGTGAAAGTCGACATTGAGAATGGTATGGCAGAAGTCGACAATACCAAAAAAGGCTATAACGTGTACAATGACTTTAACATGGTAAGATACCTTGTTTACCGATGTTTGACATGCATATCTAAGATCAGTTGATTAAAGGCGAATACCATTTAGCATATTTTAGTGTATTTCACGTTGGTAATCATTGATGATTGTCTTAATGATGTAACAAACTCGAAAAATAATGAAAAACAACATTTTTGTGTGATGGCACCTTCCGTTTTGTTCTTAATATATCATATATATTAATGATATATCAATATTTCAGGATTCTCAGTGTTGAAGTTCGATTACAATGAAACGTCCATCTGCTACCTAAGCAAGCTCACCAAATGAGATCTGAATTATATTAATGTTTATATTTCAGGATTCTCAGTGCTGAAGATCGATTACAATGAAACGTCCATCTGCTACCTAAGCAAGCTCACCAAATGAGATCTAAATTATATTAATGTTTATATTTCAGGATTCTCAGTGTTGAAGCTCGATTACAATGAAACGTTCATCTGCTACCTAAGCAAGCTCACCAAATGAGATCTGAATTATATTAATGTTTATATTTCAGGATTCTCAGTGTTGAAGCTCGATTACAATGAAACGTTCATCTGCTACCTAAGCAAGCTCACCAAATGAGATTTGAATTATATTAATGTTTATATTTCAGGATTCTCAGTGTTGAAGCTCGATTACAATGAAACGTCCAACTGCTACCTTAGCAAGCTCACCAAATGAGATCTGACTCATGTAAATGTTCGTATTTCAGGGTTTCTCAGTGTTGAAGCTCGGCTACAATAATACCTACATCTGCTACCTAAGCAAGCTCACCAAATGAGATCTGAATTATATTAATGTTTATATTTCAGGGTTTCTCAGTGTTGAAGCTCGATTACAATGAAACGTTCATCTGCTACCTAAGCAAGCTCACCAAATGAGATCTGAATTATATTAATGTTTATATTTCAGGGTTTCTCAGTGTTGAAGCTCGGCTACAATAATACCTTCATCTGCTATCTAAGCAAGCTCACCAAATGAGATCTGAATTATATTAATGTTTATATTTCAGGGTTTCTCAGTGTTGAAGCTCGGCTACAATAATACCTTCATCTGCTATCTAAGCAAGCTTACCAAATGAGATCTGAATTATATTAATGTTTATATTTCAGGGTTTCTCAGTGTTGAAGCTCGGCTACAATAATACCTTCATCTGCTATCTAAGCAAGCTCACCAAATGAGATCTGAATTATATTAATGTTTATATTTCAGGGTTTCTCAGTGTTGAAGCTCGGCTACAATAATACCTTCATCTGCTATCTAAGCAAGCTCACCAAATGAGATCTGAATTATATTAATGTTTATATTTCAGGGTTTCTCAGTGTTGAAGCTCGGCTACAATAATACCTTCATCTGCTATCTAAGCAAGCTCACCAAATGAGATCTGAATTATATTAATGTTTATATTTCAGGATTCTCAGTGTTGAAGCTCGATTACAATGAAACGTCCATCTGCTACCTAAGCAAGCTCACCAAATGAGATCTGAATTATATTAATGTTTATATTTCAGGGTTTCTCAGTGTTGAAGCTCGGCTACAATAATACCTTCATCTGCTATCTAAGCAAGCTCACCAAATGAGATCTGAATTATATTAATGTTTATATTTCAGGGTTTCTCAGTGTTGAAGCTCGGCTACAATAATACCTTCATCTGCTATCTAAGCAAGCTTACCAAATGAGATCTGAATTATATTAATGTTTATATTTCAGGGTTTCTCAGTGTTGAAGCTCGGCTACAATAATACCTTCATCTGCTATCTAAGCAAGCTTACCAAATGAGATCTGAATTATATTAATGTTTATATTTCAGGGTTTCTCAGTGTTGAAGCTCGGCTACAATAATACCTTCATCTGCTATCTAAGCAAGCTCATCAAATGAGATCTGAATTATATTAATGTTTATATTTCAGGGTTTCTCAGTGTTGAAGCTCGGCTACAATAATACCTTCATCTGCTACCTAAGCAAGCTCACCAAATGAGATCTGAATTATATTAATGTTTATATTTCAGGGTTTCTCTGTGTTGAAGCTTAGTTATAATAATACCTTCATCTGCTATCTAAGCAAGCTCATCAAATGAGATCTGAATTATATTAATGTTCGTATTTCAGGGTTTCTCAGTGTTGAAGCTCGGCTACAATGAAACGTCCATCTGCTTCCTAAGCAAACTCACCAAATAAGATCTGACTCGTGTAAATGTTCGTATTTCAGGGTTTCTCAGTGTTGAAGCTCGGCTACAATAATACCTACATCTGCTATCTTAGCAAGCTCACCAAATAAGATCTGACTCATGTAAATGTTCGTATTTCAGGGTTTCTCAGTGTTGAAGCTCGGCTACAATAATACCTACATCTGCTACCTTAGCAAGCTCACCAAATAAGATCTGACTCATGTAAATGTTCGTATTTCAGGGTTTCTCAGTGTTGAAGCTCGGCTACAATAATACCTACATCTGCTACCTTAGCAAGCTCACCAAATAAGATCTGACTCATGTAAATGTTCGTATTTCAGGGTTTCTCAGTGTTGAAGCTCGGCTACAATAATACCTTCATCTGCTACCTAAGCAAGCTCACCAAATGAGATCTGACTCATGTAAATGTTCGTATTTCAGGGTTTCTCAGTGTTGAAGCTCGGCTACAATAATACCTACATCTGCTACCTTAGCAAGCTCACCAAATGAGATCTGACTCATGTAAATGTTCGTATTTCAGGGTTTCTCAGTGTTGAAGCTCGGCTACAATAATACCTACATCTGCTACCTTAGCAAGCTCACCAAATGAGATCTGACTCATGTAAATGTTCGTATTTCAGGGTTTCTCAGTGTTGAAGCTCGGCTACAATAATACCTACATCTGCTACCTTAGCAAGCTCACCAAATAAGATCTGACTCATGTAAATGTTCGTATTTCAGGGTTTCTCAGTGTTGAAGCTCGGCTACAATAATACTTTCATCTGCTATCTAAGCAAGCTCACCAAATGAGATCTGAATTATATTAATGTTTGTATTTCAGGGTTTCTCAGTGTTGAAGCTCGGCTACAATAATACTTTCATCTGCTATCTAAGCAAGCTCACCAAATAAGATCTGAATTATATTAATGTTTATATTTCAGGGTTTCTCAGTGTTGAAGCTCGGCTACAATAATACCTTCATCTGCTACCTAAGCAAGCTCACCAAATAAGATCTGAATTATATTAATGTTCGTATTTCAGGGTTTCTCAGTGTTGAAGCTCAGCTACAATAATACTTTCATCTGCTATCTAAGCAAGCTCACCAAATAAGATCTGAATTATATTAATGTTTATATTTCAGGGTTTCTCAGTGTTGAAGCTCGGCTACAGTAATACCTTCATCTGCTACCTAAGCAAGCTCACCAAATAAGATCTGAATTATATTAATGTTTATATTTCAGGGTTTCTCAGTGTTGAAGCTCGGCTACAATAATACTTTCATCTGCTACCTAAGCAAGCTCATCAAATGAGATCTGAATTATATTAATGTTTATATTTCAGGGTTTCTCAGTGTTGAAGCTCGGCTACAATAGCTCACCAAATAAGATCTGAATTATATTAATGTTTATATTTCAGGGTTTCTCAGTGTTGAAGCTCGGCTACAATAATACCTTCATCTGCTACCTAAGCAAGCTCACCAAATGAGATCTGAATTATATTAATGTTTATATTTCAGGGTTTCTCAGTGTTGAAGCTCGGCTACAATAGTACCTTCATCTGCTACCTAAGCAAGCTCATCAAATGAGATCTGAATTATATTAATGTTTATATTTCAGGGTTTCTCAGTGTTGAAGCTCGGCTACAATAATACTTTCATCTGCTACCTAAGCAAGCTCATCAAATGAGATCTGAATTATATTAAAGGGGCAACAAGGCCTGTAGGGAGAAAATAGGAAAATCAAAAAAAATTCTGAGCTATCAAGGCAACATTTGGCTTAACATCTTCTTTGACATACCTATTTTCTTAAAATGTATGGATAAACTATCAATTTCAGCCTTAAGAAGTGTAAATTCAGTTCAAAGCTTGAAAAAGGGGAAATCCACTTTTATATTTTTAAGATCCACCATGTTTCAAGAGGAATATCAGCTAAAATAATTTTTATCTAGGGGGTTTCTTTGTAGATAATAAAAATAGATGTTAGTCTTGATGAAATATCCAAACTTAAATATATTTTGGCACTGGTCCATGATCGTTGAATGGCCCCTCTGCACTAATTGTTGCACCTTTAATGTTTATATTTCAGGGTTTCTCAGTGTTGAAGCTCGGCTACAATAATACCTTCATCTGCTATCTAAGCAAGCTCATCAAATGAGATCTGAATTATATTAATGTTTATATTTCAGGGTTTCTCAGTGTTGAAGCTCGGCTACAATAATACCTACATCTGCTATCTTAGCAAGCTCACCAAATAAGATCTGAATTATATTAATGTTTATATTTCAGGGTTTCTCAGTGTTGAAGCTCGGCTACAATAATACCTACATCTGCTATCTTAGCAAGCTCACCAAGGGTGTCCTTTCTCCAGCAGCAATGCAGAGTTATTTGGAGTACCATCCTGTAAGTTCATCTAGTTGCGCTCTCCAAGAGGTCATCTACAGAATCTTAGTTTCTAATTTTCTAATTGATTTCTTAATTCTGCAAGACCCATCCTTCAGAATGGTTGATCATGTCTTCTCCGCTAACACCAAAATTACAGTATGGCCTGAACTGGATGCGAAATGAGAGAATATGTATTTCATCACGTTTATGGTTTTAAATGAGAGGCGTAATTGATTGATATGTCACACAACAATGAAAGATGTTTTACAAAATGTACAGAGACTAAAAAATTGCATTTCATAGTTAATTTGTGTATGAATGGAAAACAATAATGACAAATCGTAAATAATTCTTGTGTATTATTTTAAGGATGGGGAAGAGATAACATCACACGACAAGGACGCTGATTTGCCACATTTAATGCAAGCCAAAGAGGAAATACGTGACCGTGGATTTCTGGGACATCAAGAACGAGATTCGTGCGCAGGGTCCCCCATACATTGGCTCGTCCCTGCCACTGAAGAAGTACCAGATGGTGATGCTGATGATGATACAATTGTTAGTGAGGCTAATGGAAATGATGTCACGACTGGTATGTTGCTATTGTAAATAATGTATTTCTCTTAATTACTATATGGATATAATAAAGCGAATAAATCTCATTGAGATTAGTATTCACGGTCCGTAAAAGTGAGCAGCCTAACCTTAAAACCCAAATGATCTATACGTCATAGGTACATCCAAAACATCCATAAATGTGTGTTGAAGGTGACTTCTGTTAGCGCACCTCAAATTAACGGTTGATTTGACAGTGTTGCGAACTCACATTAAATCATCGTTAGTCAATTAAAGTTTGATATTTGTAAACATGTGCGATATGGAAACAGAAAATAAATAAGATTAATTATGTTTACTACAGGAACTCCTCACAATGCATCATTAGTGAGAGAGAAAAGGGACAAAAGCCACAGTAAGCACCACAGCAAACACAAGTCCCACAGCAAACACAAGTCCCACAGCAAATACCACAGTCACAGTAGTAGTAGTAGTAGCAGCAGTAGCAGTAGCAGCAGCAGCAGTGGAAGCAGTGATAGCGATCATGGAAGCTGCTACAGTCGTAAACAAAGATATCTTTGCTACTCGGGTGCGGATTACTGCTGCGTTGGGTGCTGCATTCCCGGATGTGGGCCATCTCCTTGTTGCTACTCTGCCGGTTGTTGTCGCCGTGGTGATAGCTCTGATGATAGCTCCAGTAGTTCGAGCGACTCCAGTCACTCTAGCCACAGTCACCATAGCAAACACAGTAAACATAAACATCACAGCCATAAGCATAGCAGCAAACACAGCAGCAAACATCATAGCCACAGCAGCCACAGCAGTCATAGCAGTCATAGCAAATAAAGGACTGATAAACTACATTTAGCTCGATTATGCTCATTATGCACATTGCTTCGTACTATTTTATATTCCTAACCCATAACATGACTCGTGAAAGTGGAATGATTTGAAGAAAACTAGCAGCTTTCGGTCCGTAATTTGGTATAATGCCACGTTATATGCATTTCTCAGCCTATTAGTGGCTTGTGATATAACGGTTTTGGTGTGAACCCTAAATAACTTATAATGGTATTGATCTTAATTGATAATAATAATTTTTGTTATGAGCATAAACTTTGCAAAATTGGAGTCGTATAGTTCAACTTGGCTCTGTGGAATTAATGTGCATGTTTTTGTTTGTATTCGCGAATGTAACTTTCTGTGTCGGCTACCGGATTAACTTATTAATTACTTATTAGTGTGAAGAGTCAATGTTATAGTAACCTGCCTATGCATTTTGCAGTACATAAAGTGATTTAACATTAAGAGTGAATGTTATGGTAACATGCCCATGCATTTTGCTGAATATAAAGTGATTTAACATTAAGAGTGAATGTTATGGTAACATGCCCATGCATTTTGCAGTGCATAAAGTGATTTAACATTAAGATCGAGTGTCACATCAAAATAGGAAAGAAAATAGGTTTTTAAGCATTAATAAAAAGAAAATTGATAACATGTACTGAGTAACTTAATGTGTACTTAGAGAGCAGTTTTAATTCATAAGAGGCAAATATGAAGGTACGACAGGCTAAAAAGCAAGTAAAGTAGGTCATTGTGGATTGTATGTATGTATTGTATTAGTTCCCTTAAAATGCGGATATTCAGAGGAATATATAACATTAAACAATGCACAGCTTTCATCTGCTTTCATATTACATTGTTATTCCTAAAAGAATCCTAGAGATGGAAAGAGCAATAGCTTTCCAACGATACCAAAATATCCCATAGGGTCAGCCGACTATTAAACTCCTTTATTTATGGACTTCTGAGGCTTGGCCTACTCGCCTATAGAGGGAGTGACTGGTGGGGCCAATGAGAATATAACTTTTTGAAAATGTATGGATTTTGATAACAATTTTCGCAGTGGATGTAGGAATCACTTTTTGCAATTGTTCCTACAGGTATGAAGAATAATATGAAATAATTCGTCTTTACTTTTCATTCACAACTAATTCAAAGTATGATAGTCGATATGGTGAATGGTATACCCTTGCCAGCTTGTAGAATGTAGATGCGTCTGACGATTGTATTGATGATGTTTAAAGATATATTGAAACAGAAATACAATTCAACGAAATTAAACCAACTGAGTTTGTTGTCGGTTTAAGCTTGAAAGAAGGACATTGACTAGCAAACCCAATCTTAAAGATTAGTAGCAAAGGTAAACTGAGGAAAGGGGGAAATGTCATAATACAGGCTAACTGAAACGCCCAACTGGGGAGTTGCCATAATACACACTAACTGGAGTAGACTGGGGAAATGTCATAAAACAGGCTAAATGAAACTCCCAACTTGGGAGTTGCCATAATACACACTAACTGGAGTAGACTGGCGAAATGTCATCATACAGACTAACGGGAGTAGACTGGGGAAATGTCATAATACACACTAACTGGAGTAGACTGGGGAAATGTCATAATACAGACTAACGGGAGTAAACTGAGGAAATTATATTATACAGATAAACGGGGGTAAACTGCGGAAATGTCACAACAGGGAGGTTAAGATTAGCGTAAAAATATACGTTTACCTATCCCTATCCGTATGTTTGTTATGGATACGTATAGGTACGTATTGCAAAATAAGTTTTTAGATTAACTTAAAATGCTACGAAACCGTATGCTACAATTTATGATAGAATTAATATCCTAATTATAGAATGAAAACCATGCGATTGCTTATATGGCATATACCAGTACATGTCACCTCCAAGAACTGTTATATACTTCAGAGAGAGTGTGGTGTAGCTACTGTAGTTGGGAGGGGGTGTTACTTGTGTGCCCGCAAATGGGGCAGTGACTTAAGGCGAAATGTTAAATTTCTAGCATGATCCAGCAATGAGAGAGAACAAATAGTAAAGTTAATCAAATAAAACCACGAGAAAATGGCTGATTTCATACATTTACAATAAGCAAAACTGAGGGAGAATTTGTAAATTCAACAATTCCATGCATGAACACATGGCATCGTTTATCGCATCAATGAATGTGTTCGACCACTTAATTTCTATGCAGATCGATTGAGAAATGTTTGTTGTTACTATTTTAAAGTTTAATGGATGATATTTGATCTAGAAATGACATAACTTGTTGAATAAAAACATACATTTTCGAATTACCTATCTTCGGCCATTTATAATTACATATCGTAAACCCGTAACTTAGGTAAAATACCGCTACGTATAGGTATAGGTAAATGGGTCATTTACACTAATCTTAAACTCCCTATTGTAGACAAATTGGAGTGAACCAAGGGCTTATCTAATACTCGGGGCTTAGTTGTGTACCAAACGAAACGAGAAACGGCACGACATCCGGGGCTTTGTTTGGTCTTCATTAGACAATGGTGTATAGAGGGGTAGGTTTTCTCAGACAAAGGTACCTTTTTCTGTACCGTTTTACGGTTATTTTACAATATTCACCTTTCCATAAAGTCAGCTCATGAATATTATAATGAGCCGCTTAAAAATCTGTGACGTCAATGGGAGAAACTTTTTCCCGCGAAAAACAAATGCAATTGAGTTTACATGTAAATCCTCGGTTGATTGCTGTAAGTTTTACCTCTTCAAATGTGCAAATTATCAGTAAATTATTGACGGATTTTTTATTGAACGTCAGATTGACATTTATTTACGCCTTCTAAGCGATTTAAATATTAAATTTCTGTTCATAATGAGTAAATAAATTGAAGAGAATTACTCCCGGTCATTTTTCAATCATAATGGGAACTGCATGTGAACAGGTGAAATTATCATAATCATTGGTTCACCAACATTATAACATGTCTCTCATGCATAAAAATATATAGATAGACAATCTATTTTAAGTTAATCTTCAGTGTCATTTGATGAATGACCTGTTCAAATTAAAAACATTTGCTCTTATTCATTTAATCATTGACTTCACTACTCCCATAATTCAATTAACTAATCACGATTACTTCCTATCTATTTCTGCAAGTCATATATTATAAGTTATTGAATGATTTGAAGTGCAATACAGAATATATTCTGCTCGAGAAATTCCGTATTTGGAACGAGACGAAGTCGAGTGCCAATACAGAATATCGAGACAGAATATATCCTGTATTGCACTTCAAATCATTCAATAACGTTTTTATTGTGTGATCCTCTGTATTGCTATTGAATTTGTCCCCTCCGTACCAATATTTTCTGTATTGCGACGGAGATGATAAACGGGGACAATCTCAGTAGCAATACAGATTGGTACAGCACAAGAACTGACCAATCAGAGGGCTTCATTTTACAGATCATACGATAAAAGATCGTATCTTGAAAATATTATAGTGAAAACATCGGAATATAGAATTGATATATTCCAATGTATATTTCCCGCTGCGTATCTCCCGATCCAAATATTCCCGGGAAAATGTTTTTTATTCAGTGTAGAAACAGTCAATTTGTTAGAATATCTTGCTAAAGCAAAACTGTCAAAATAGATCCAGCAGACCGTAGAATTTTTCTTAGCCAAAATGATGATGGATTTCTCGAAAATAATGAGAACGCTTAGAAAACAAACCTGAATATGCAGGGTGTCCTGAAAACTTCACTTGTGAAACCTCACTTGTCATAGGATAAATTAGTTATGTGATGATCGGTTTTGAATAATGATCACCGGAAAGATTTCAAAGAAAGAGCGTATATCTATAATATTCATTGATGATATGTTGACATTGCTGATCGTTATTGACATCGCTGATGGCGAATTAATACCAAAAGGTAACGATATCGTATATGTACTATGAACAGATTTCATTTGGTAAATAATAAAGTAATGGTTTAAGTCTAGCTTCTTGGATAGGAAATTTGGCTTCGAAGTTATCTTTTTAATAGCCAATGGGCGTTCTCCAAGTTTGGAGGATGAAATGAAGGTTTTTTAATAAAGCCCAGTTGCGTTTAGCGAGAAACCCGTTCTACGTTTTACTTAAATTGCAACTGGAAAAAGTTCCAATGAAAAGAAAGTTAGTTTAGTCATGGGCTTTCATGATCTTGAAAGCCCATGGTTTTAGTTCCCGTAACATATTCATGCATGCTTTTGAAAATATTTTGTTAATGTGTATTTATCGAGATGGGATCGATCCTCAATAACAAAGTCAAACAAATCGTGTTTCAATTCGATTGGTTTCGTTTGCGCGAATGTCACTCATGGTGAATTTCTGATAGAACTTTTTACTACGACATATAACCACACTACTATACCTAACACCTAGAAATGCATAAGATACTTTGTTTGTCTAATTGAATTGTTTAATATATTTTTGAAAGTGCCTTACTAGCATCTAATTTTCAACCGATAAACCATTCATAAGGAACAGACAAATAAAAACAAATACATAATCATTACTAATAAGCCAAATGGGTTGCTCATGAACACCAAATGCAAGGTATAGTAGTGTGTAACCATTTAACAGAATATTGTATGACCACTATCAGATAATTAAACCGAGTTGTTTGTAACTTCACAATTTACATTTTTTTTGTTTACAATCGCACGAGGTATGTGAGCCCGGTATGTGAAGCTGATCTCAGAAGTCTTAATAAACAATAGTTATGTCAAAAAATGATTAATTTAAATTACATAGGGTTCGGAATCATAATACAGACTAAAGGGGGTAAACTGGGGAAATGTCATTATATAGACTCACTGGAGTAAATTTGGGAAATGTCACAATACAGACTAATGGTTGTAATCTGGGGAAATGTCATAATACAGACTAAAGGGGGTAAACTGGGGAAATGTCATTATATAGACTAACTGGAGTAAAGTGGGGAAATATCATAATACAGGCTTACGGAGCTAAACTTGGGAAATGTTATGATACAGACTAATGGTTGTAATCTGGGGAAATGACATAATACAGACTTAAGGGGGTAAACTAGGGAAATGTCATTATATAGACTCACTGGAGAAAACTTGGGAAATGTTATGATACAGACTTATGGTTGTAATCTGGGGAAATGTCATAATACAGACTTAAGGGGGTAAACTAGGGAAATGTCATTATATAGACTCACTGGAGAAAACTTGGGAAATGTCACAATACAGACTAATGGTTGTAATCTGGGGAAATGTCATAATACAGAATAAAGGGGGTAAACTGGGGAAATGTCATTATATAGACTCATTGGAGTAAACTTGGGAAATGTCACAATA